CTTTTCTTTAAAAAAAGAAAAAGGAAATTTTTGAATTATTTGATATGACAAAGGGGTCTCTAACAAAACTTGAATAGAAAAAGGAGGGGTATTTGTTTATCCCCCCCCTGTGGGGAATTGAAAAAAGTTGGTTTCTCCACTGGGGTAATTGTTTTTGACTTTCCATTGGGGGTAAAGGGAAGAAAATTTAATCTCTAAAAATTTGAAAGAAAATTATATTTTTTTTATAAAAGAAATTTTTTTTTTTTTTTTTTTTTTTTTTTGCAAATAAATAGATAATATTGTTGTTTATTTTAAAGGTTTTTTTTAACTATAATTATTATTATTATTATTATTATTATTATTATTATTATTATTATTATTATTATTATTATTATTATTATTATTAATAAAAAGAAAAAAAAAAGAGAAAAAGAATAAAAAGAAAAAGAAAGAGAAAGGTAAAATAAAATTATAATTTAATATATGGATAATTATTAGAATAAGTTATATTTTATAAAACTCAAATGCGCATTTGTATGAAATTAGAGTGATGTGAAAAAAGTTGTTTGTGAGGGTTTTTTTTGTTTACTTACGCTGATTTAACTGGAGCTGGTTTAGCACCAGTAACAATTCTTTTAACAGCTGAAAGACCTTGAAGAACTTGATTTGGATTTTTAGTTTCAAATAAATCAACAGTCATGAAAAGATCAGTGGTGGCAACACCTAAACCTTTACAGAAATTTAAGAAACTGTTAATGTTTTCCATTTGGATAAATGGAGCTTTTGATGGTGATGATTTGCATGAACCTGGTTTAATTTTGTTACCTAATCTAAAATTTATAAAAAATTATTAATAATTTATAAAAAAGATTATATTGTGATTATTTTTCCAAAAAAAAAAGATTATATCGTGATTATTTTCTTTTTTTTTTTTTTTTTTTTTTTAAGATAAACTTACTTGCAGAGAATAACACCTGATTGTAATGCTGCAATAAAATCTGAGCCAAGGGATTCACCAATAGTTGATTCAATCCATTGTTTAATATCAGCTTCAAGACCTTTGTCGTATAAAGCTTTCTTTTTAGCGTCTAAATCGGCATCTAAACCAAAGTGATAATCTGATGGGTGTTGCATGTTTGATATATTTTATTTTAAAAAAAGGTAATTATACAAAAATAAATAAAGGTAAATTTGATGAAAGAAAAAAAAATTTTGATTTTTTAAAAAAATAAAAAAAAATTTTTTAAAAAAAAAATTAAAAATAAAAAATTAAAAATAAAATAAATATTTTAGAAAAAAAAAATGGGTGCAAAATGGGTATTATTTTTTAAAAGAAAAAAATAAATATTAACAGTTATAAAGTTTATTTAAATGATAAAATTAGTTATTTTTTTAATTTTTTTTTTTATTTTTATTTTTTTAAATTAATTGAATGGGTCGTCATCATTTGTGTTTTTATTCAAATAATTGTTATTTTCGTTATTATTTAAATTATTTGAAGATGACTCTGAAATAATAAGTTTATCAAATTCTTCATCAATACCATTAATTTCATCCATTAAATTTATATTATTATTATTATTATTATTATCTGTATTATTATTATTATTATTATTGCTAGAACCTATATTAATTAAACAATTTCTTAAATCTGGTAATTGACCAACACCATTTTTATTTCTTTCTTTTCTATATTTAAATAAAGCATTTGTTGAAAATATACTGGTTTTAATTTCTTTTGGTATATGAAGATTGACCATTTTAAAAAATAAACCACCAGGACTTCTTTTTTTTATTTCTATTATATTATTATTATTATTATTTACATCACTATTACTATTTACAGATTTTTCAAATGTTAATCCTCCTTTGGATTCTATTTCTAAAGTTAATTGTAAAAATTCGATTGCTTTAACTAAACCTATTGATAATAACACCATTTCCATTAGAATCATATTATTTTCCCTATTTAAATAGCCACAAAATTTACGTACTGCCAATTCTATTAATTTTCTATCATTGAATTGAATTTTTTCTAGTTCTGATTCTTGATGTTGATGTTGTATTTTAAAATCAAAGTCATCGGGAATATTATTATTTTTATTCATTTTTTCTAAATTGATTATTTCATTTTTTAATTCCAAACATTTCCCAGTTAATATATGATAGAATTCAGTGTTTAATTCTTTTAAACTTGGATAAACACCAGCTTCTATATACTTTTGAAAGGGACTGATTAATTTATAGTTATTATCATGCATTAAGGAATATTTTTTCTTTTGTTTTTTTTGTTGATTACTATTGTTATTGTTATTGCCATTTAAATTGACAGATTTTCTCTTTTTATTATTTTTTTGAACTTTTTTTTTTACGCTTTTAATATTATTTGTTTTATTGTGATCATCTGCATTTATACTAATATTGTCATTATTATTATTTTCAAATTCTATATCTTGTTGTTGTTGTTGAATTTGTTGTATTTGTTGTTGTTGGTGACTTTCATTATATGTAATATCCATTTATAAGTTTTATTTATACAAATGAAATGAAAATGAAAAAAAAATATTAAAAAAATAAAAATAAAAATGAAATTTTTTTTTTTTTTAAATTTTTTATTAATTATTTTTTTTTGATTTTAAAATTTTCTTAAATACAAGGGGGTGTTTGGAGGCGTTTTTTTAAAAAAAAATTAAGAAATAAAAATTTAAAAAATCACTTATTTTTTATTTATAAAAAAAAAAAAAAAAAAATTTCATTTCTTAATTTTTTTTTGTCGAGACACCCCCTTACATAAATAGTATCTTTTTTTTTTTTTTTTTTTACTTGGAAATAATTATTTTTATAAAAGAGTTTATTATTTATAAAAAAGAATGAATTTTCAAAAGGAATTTCAAATATCAGGGCCCAACCCAAAATAGGGGGAAGAAATTCCAACTAAAAAATTTAAAAACAAATTATCAACCCCCTTAAAAAATTTTAATTTTTCATTATTTGTTAGGGATTATTATATTGAAATTTGGGTATTAATTTTCATTTTACTATCAATATTTTATTATATAAGAAGGATGAATATGACAAAAAAAAGTAAAGATTTTAGCAAAGATATCATTAAAAGAAATGACGAAAGGGCAAAATTGGCAAGAGAGAAATATCAAAATAAATACCAAGATATTTTACAAACTGCTGATATACCAGCACCATGTTCAACCGAGGACTCTGATAACCATAACTATTCCAAAAAATTTAATAATAAATCTTTGTTCTTTGAATCGACTGAAGGTATGTCCCCAAGTACCACTAGATCAAGAATTACATTTACATCGCGGGACAGAAGTTTTGTTAAAGAATTCTATTAGAAAATCATTCACATAAAATAATTTTCATCATAAAATATTTATAAATAGTCACAATAAATCTTGAAATAATTTTTATCTTTAAATTTAATATTTATTTTTTTTTTTTTATTATTTTTTAATTTTTAAAAAAATTTTTTAAAATTTTTTTCATTTATAATTTCATTTTTTTTAATTAAAAAGTAATATGATTTTTATTTAAAATCAAATAACTAAATAAATAGTACAATGAGTGATTTAAATTTATCAAAGTTATCACTAGAAGATGGTGATAATGCTGATAGTAGTAATAATAATAATAATAATAACAATAATAATGATAAAAATAATAATAATGATAATAATACAATACAACAACCAAATGTTAGTACCCCAAATAAACAACTTGATAATAAACAACAGCAATCTCCAACACATCCAAGACAGCGTATTCAGTTTTATCAGGATGAACCAACTATACCACAACCACAACAATCAGATCAATCACAATTACAAAATGTAGTTAAAAATGAATTACCATCACAATTACCAACACCATATCATCAGTTTGATAGCAATGGAGAACCCATTGCAGTTCCGCAATTTTATCAAACACAGCCATCACAAATACCAGCACCACTTCATCAATTTGATAGTAATGGGCAGCCAATAGTACCACAATTTTATCAATCACCTCCATCTTCGTTCTCCCCACCAGGTTCACATTATGATAGGAGCGGACAAAATATACTATCCGAACAACAACAACAACAACAACACCAACAACAACAACAACAACAACAACAACAACAACAACAACAATATTATCAACAGCCATATGAACAAACACCACAACCACAACCACAAATGAAGGATGAAGTTGATATTGATTTTAATGGTGTGGAGCTAATTAATGAAAAAGATTGGTTTAAAGAAATTTTAAATTATCAACAACAAAACAATCAATTGCACAGCAATCAAGACCAAGATATAACTCAATATATTAAAAATCATAACCAATTTAGAATGAATGAAAATTACCAAAAGAAATCTTTTACCCAAGAAGAGTTAAAGTCCAATTTAGATTATTCAGCAATAAACCAAAGTGTATTAGCATCATCAATCCTAATGTTAAATAGAGCTGACCAATTTAATAAAACAAATTTACCAAATGGTTTCCTTTTATCACCATTTCACCAACCAATAACAACACCCCAATCATATGACTATCAACCACCACAATGCAAAAGTTGTTTTTCATATATAAATATGTACTGTGAACTAAAGGATGGTAAAGATAAAAAGAACAATAGCAATAGAAAATGGATATGTTCAATCTGTAAAACCTCAAATGATATTTTAGAAACAAACAATGGTTGGTGGAAAACTCAACACTACAAATCAGTATTCTCATCAGAAACATTCGATATTAAAATTAGAAAAAACAAACATTCACAAGTTAAAAAATTAAACAATAAAAATCCAACCAAATCCATTATTGACCAAGATAATTATGAAGAAGAAGATGACGAAGATGATGAATATTTTAGCCAAAGACAACAAAATCAACAATCTTCAGATCAGGAAGCTAGTGCAGAACATTCAAATATTTATTTATTTTTAATTGATGAAAATATTTCAACTACAGATTTAAAGGTAAATTATTATTATTTTATACATTTTTTTAAAATTTTTTATTAACTGTTTTTTTTTTTTTTTCAGGATATAAACAAATCAATTAGATTATTAATCAAAGATTTACCAAATAATAGTAAAATTGGGTTATTAACATTTTCAAAGAATATTTCAATTTTTGAAATGAGTGCAATTAGTGTAAACGAAAAGAGTCAAGAAGGATTATTAAGCTTTAATTCAACAAGATTGGTTGGCGGTAGAGCATCATTAGATAGATCAAATAAATATGAAATACAAAGAAAAAGAAGACTTTACTTGGAAACAATTTTAGATAGTGGTATTGAAGAAAGATCACCAAAATTAAATTTAGTATTAAATAGTTTATTAGAAACATTTGAAAACAATGGCACTTCAGTTGTATACGAAAGCAAACAGATATCATTGGGTGTAGCTATTGAATGTGCACTAAGAATAGTCAAGGGTCAAAATGTTAATAGCGGAAGGTTCTTTGTATTTTTAAATGGTGCACCAGATTATGGACCAGGAGCTATACCAAGATCGGATGATGCCTTATTTATCAATTGTAGCAGTGGTAAACGTAAAAATGTAACAACTGAAGAAAAAGCTATTTTAAATAATGCACTACAGTACTATGAGGCATTGGGTGAAAAAGCATATAGAAGTGGCTTTGCTATTGACTTACAATTGATTGGCTACAATAATTTTGAAACCAAAATTCTTGCACCTCTTTGCCGTCCCTCAGGTATAATGTCATGTTCATTAGATGTTCATTCTGTATCAAACAATAAATACCAAACTAGATCAAATATACTATTTGAAAATATGAACAATGCAATCATTAAAAACTCTGGTATTTTTGGTCAATTAGATATTCACGTCCCAGAGTTCTTAAATCTCACTCATTTAATAGGGCCAACTATAAAGTATAAAGCTGATAAATTTATACAACAAATTAAATTGGATTATTTACAAAGTCCAGCTAGTGTATCAAATAACAAGAAGGGTGCATCACAAGAACAATTCATTGAAAAAGAACAAGATTTTATTTATGCAGAAGATGTCGATAACGATAGATATACAAGTTTTGTAATTTCAAATCTACAACAAGATATTTGCTTCTCAATTTATTTTAATCTTTCAGAGGATATACCATTTGACCATATCTATGTTCAATTTGTAACCCATCTAATTAAATCCAATGGTATCAAAATTACAAGAGTTATCACCAAACAAATTAAGGTCACTGGTAATTTTGAAAAATATTTATCATCTGTTGACTTTAAAGTTATTGCAACTTTATTATCTAAAAAAATAATTTTACAATCAATTAAAGATCAACAACCAGATAGCTCTGATACTGGTAGTATTGCCAATACAACTCAATTTGAATTAGATAAACAATTGGCCAAAATTACCTTGTCATGCTCAAAAGTTGAAAAATCATGGTTCTTTAAAAAAACTGTTATTATACCGGATTTAATTAAAAGCTTTATTAATTTGTAAGTACTACTCTTATATATATCAAAACTTAAAACATCCCACTAATTCAATTTAAATAGAATTTATAAAGTTAGAAAGAGTTTAATATTCGGCCAAAATATTCAAAATGATGATGATTTAACAATTTATCAAAACTATTTATTAAATTCAAATTTTACAGATTGTCAGAAATTATTATTACCAAATTTATTACTAATAGATGATAATTGCCAATTTAGAAATGTAACTATATTAATTCAAATATAAAACAATAATAACAATAATGATTCTAATATAATTGATTTTAAAATATAGATACCATTGGATGTTTGTTCAATAGATTCAAATGCCATTTTAATTTTAGATTGTTTTATAAATATCTATATTTTGGTTGGTAGCGACATTGAAAAGAGTGATAATCAAGATAGATTAAATTTATTAGATAGTTACATAAAAGAAATTATCACACAAAGATTACCATCACCCTATATTATCAAATTTAACGAAAGAGATCATGAAGTCAGATGGTTAAAATCATTATTGTCAAGTTCAGAATCATACCCAATAGATCAAAGATTAGAAATTGTCAAGGAAATTTATCCACAATTTCAAAATGAAACCAATCAAAACTTTTTAGAAAGATTTAACGATCCTTTTACCAACGATCCTTTCACTCCTTCAAATTATTTAAGAGAAATTAATACTAAAATTTATGATTATTTCATTTAAAATTATAATAAATAAATCTATAAAAAAATTTTAAAATAATTAAAACAATTTTTTTTTTTTTCGTTATTTTTTTAAATTTAAATCTCTAATTGGTCAGAATCCATTTCCAGTTTTATCAAGAATGGCATGTGATATTTTTTGTATTGATCCAACATCAATTTTTTTGGATCATTTTCAAATTGTCCAGATCTTGTTACTCCAGATAGAGGTAGTATGTCTCCAGAAACCATTCAAACCTGCTTCTTATATAAATTTTATTTAAAAATTTTAAATGAATTTAAAAATAAATAATTTATAAAACAATACTTAATAATCTGCATAAATAAACAAAAATATAAAATAAAATTATTTTTGATTTAGGTTTATCATAAATTTGAATAAAATCGAAAAATTTCTATAATATTGTGGACATTTATTAAATAATAATATTATTATTATTATTGATCACCGGAAAGATAAACTGGGTAAGAACGAAATCATACACATATTTTATTTTCTTTACTAATTATGCATTATCGCCTTCTTCTTTTTTAAAAGAATTAATTTTTGGATAAGTCTTAGCCCAGGGAACAAATAAACCCCCCGTATTCGAATTTTTCCTAGTGTACAATTACTATGTTGGATATTTCGATCCTAACATTATATGTCACATATAATCATTGCAAGGCTATAATATAATATAGCCGCTATATATGTGAACATATCTATACACTGGCTTATCCAAAAAACAATAAGCGATAATGCAGTGGTAGAAATTAAAATAGCTAAAGTTTCGTTTTATAAACTATAATAGTTTATCTTTAAGTAAAGCTAACTAAAATTTCACAAAAATTATAATTGAAAAAAAGTTTTTATATGAAGCAATGAAATGTAAATATTTTATGGGAATAATTAAACAATTCTATCTATTTTTTAATTAATTTTTTTATAAAAAAAAGAAATTGTGTGGTGGGGTTTTAATTAAATTTTTTTAAAAAATTTTTTTTCAAAAATTTTTTTTTTTTTTTTTTTTTTTTTTTCCAATCATTCTTTATATTTTCAAAATAACAGAAACAAATAATAATAATTAAAAAAAAAACTATTAAAAAATAAAAAAAAAACTTATTAAAGGTGGAGATTAATTGGATGAGCCATTAAAAGCACACAAGCTTACCTCGAATAGGGTTAGAAATTAGAATAGATTATTGGACACAGTGATTAGTATGAAAAATATAGAGGCTTTAAAAAGTAGCCCAAAAGAGATATTCCAGCCACTTCAGCCACTTGTGCCTCTCGTGCCACAGTTGATATGTGTAAAAGATTAAAAGAATTAAATAGACTAATTGGTAAACTCTTAAAAAAAGTTTTTCATTTTATACTAATGATTAGTGGAGTGTTAATCTTAAATTATTTTTGTAACAATCACAAAAGATTTTTAAAAAAATGTAATTTTTTTTTAAAAAAAATAGAAATCGATTGGGGAGAAGTTCAAAAAATATCTTATAACGGTGGCTTTTTTAAAAAAAAAAGTGGAGTGAAAACACTTTAATTATTTTTTTTTAATTTTTTTAATTTTTTTTTAATTTTTTTTTTTTCTAAAATTTTCATTATAAATATTTTTTTTTTTTTTTTTTGTATTTTGTTCTAAAAAAAAAGATAAAAATAAAGTAATTATCTCCTCTTCCATTTCCTCTTCCTTTCCTCTTCCAAACTTAATCCATTTCCTCCTCCCCTTCCTCTTTTACCTCTCCTTTTTTAAACTCAAAAAATGAAAGTTTCATTCGTTTTATTAATCGTAGCTTTAATTATTGCAGTATGTAGCGCTGCTGTTCAACACAGTGAACCATCTCAAGGTCAAATCAATTATTGCGTTATGTGTAATACCACTGCTCAATGTGCCCATGGTACCAACCACACATGCACTATGGTTAATTTAGGTCAATGTACTTTGATCACATCAAAATGTGATGGCAACAACAGCACCTTTTACATTAAAGCTTCACAAAACAATCAAACTGTTACAACCCAAAACTTTGATCAAGACTCAAAATGTAATAGTGATGGAATTCCTTCAAACCAAGTTACCTGTGAAGGTTGTTCCGCTGATGGTTCCGCTGAAGTACTTTGCTATGTTCCACAATCCAGTTCAAGTGATGCTTCTTCATTTGTTATTCCATCTATTTTTGTTATCATTATGATCATTTTAGCTTCATTCATTTAAATTGTTCATATATTTATAAATCCTCCTTCGAAATAAATCAAACCTTTAAAAAAAAATAAAAAGGTTTTTTTCATAATAATATTAAATATTTAATAATAATTTTGTGTTTAATAATTTTATTTAATTTTATTTATATTTATATTTAAGCAAAATAAGATGGAGCAACTTTGGTGGATTGAATATCTTCAATTTGACTCTCGGTGAATTGAAGTTTATCTTCTTCCCAAGTACTGCTATGAGTTCTCCAAAAATCTGATAATACAGTTGAGGCACCTTTAAAATTACTATTATAAGCGAAACGAGATAATTGTTCTAATACCTCTGGTAAATAGGTTGGGAATTCATATGGATTTGCTAAAACAATTGCACATAAAACAAGAATTGATGAATGCTTTTCAATTGTACTAATACCCGGAGTTTTTAATTTAGCGATGGATTTTTTCTATATTTAATAAAAATATTAATAAATGATTATATATATTATAATGAAAAGATGATTAACTTACAATTAAGTCTTTAACTCTATTAATATTTGATTTTGAAGATATTAAAATTGAAGCTAAAGTTGTTTTTGAAGATTCTCTAATTTCAATATGTTGATCTCTTGTTAATGTTAAAACAATATTAATAATTGATTCGACTTGATTTGGAGTAAAGTAGAAACAATGATTGAAAAAGAATATCTGAATGAAAGGTAAAATACTTGATCTAATTTTCCAAGAGGGGCTTAAGAGTGTTTGGTTGATTGTTGCAATAATTTCATCAATAATTTTAGTATTACAATAAAATTCTTGGGATATTCTGTAAATGATAATAGTACAATCTTTAGATATTTCAATATTTGAATCTGCATGTAATTCCATGATAACCTTAAGGAGTGAGGGAGTTGAACGAATTAATAAATTTGATTTTGAAAACATATAATATACAAATGTGGTTAAGCTTTCTTTTAAACATGTTTTCTTTTCTTTTTCAGTTGATGTTGGATTATAATTTAAAAGAATACTTTCATTTGGTGGACTTGCAATACTTGTTAAAATACTTGGGTTACCATTATTGTTATTTAATTGGGTTGGTGGTGAGCCAGTAAATGGTGGTGAATTAATGTAGGGTGGTGAGTTGATGTTTGGTGGAGTTGATGATGGTGGTGAAGATTTTTCAATATACTCGGCCATTGAGGTGATTTTCTTTAGTAATTCTTCAGGTACAATTGGTGGATAAACTGTAAAATCTGTTTGATAAACTAATATTTGAGAGAATAGTTTTAGTGAATCAACTCTAATTTGTTTATAGCTATTTGAGAATTCATCAGAAGCTAAATCTGCAACACGCTTAGTAAATTCTGGACACTTCCATGGTACTTCGAATAAAAAATACTTTAAGAGTCTAACGGCTTTGGTTTTACCTAAAATATTTGCAGTTGGTACTTTATAGTTTTTAAATAAGATTTCACCAATCCAAGAGATCTTTTCATAGATAATATTGTTGGTAATATAACGTACAGCCATTTCCCACACATCAGATGCTTCATTTGAGCTATTGGTAAATCCGTTCAAAAGTACCTTTTCAGAATATTCTTGAATTTCTTTAAATCTTCCATCTAAAAGTTCACTGTTGACACTAATATATCTACAAAGACCTGCCATTATTTCTGCTAATGATCCAAGTTCATCCTTGTGAGTTTTGGTTCTTAGGTCTTCAATTGATGGTTTGAGGAGATCAAAGAATTTAACACCAATGGTTGAAAATAAACCGTAAATAAGATCTGCATTGAATGCTCTGAAGTTACTTAGACTGAAACTGCTTAGTCTCGTATTTGGCCAAAGGGTTGAAAGTTTCTTTGATGACAATGAAATTGCAAATTTAACTGATAAACCTTCACCGTCGTGATCTGAAATAATTTTTTTAATTACATTGTCTATAAAGGTTTGATTATCAAATTGTTGATTAATATCATCTTTAACAATTGAATAAATGGTTTTTACAAAATCTAAATTTCTATCCATTGCAGTTAAATCTACTGGTTTTTTAATTTCATTTTCGTCAATACCATTGAACTGTTTTAATCTAAAGTAGCCATCTATAAAAAAAAAGTAACATTAGAATAAAAAATATTTTTTTTAGTTTTTTTTTTATATTATATAATATAATTTACCATAAGTAAATTGAACATTCTTTGAACCTTGACGATTTAATATTAACGATATGCAGAAAATACTGTAAATTCTACTGAATGGATAGTCACCTAGAGTTTCCTTTGAGAACATAACAAAGATTTCTCTAATTAACTCTCTGTTTTCATCAATAAAATCCATATTGAAGTTTTCAAATTCTGATGTCGAGTAGAAGAGGATTGTAAACAAATAAGAAAGATTTGACAATAGGAATAGATGGCTCTTCCATGTTTGAGATGATTTCTTTTTATGTTGTTTTAGGGCACTTAAGATGGTCTGTAAAAGTTTAAGTAGATTTTCACGATTTTGAGCAAGAATCTTTTGATTGTATTCTTTTGATTCTAAAATGTATTCTTTTGGTAACCACTCACAGTCATAGGTTCCATTTTCAATTGAGTTTAATTCGTCTGAATAGTGAATTGTGTTAATTGGCTTGGCATTGACAGATAATAGGTCTTTTTTTAAATCGCTAAGGCTGTTTTGTGTTGCTGGTTTAAATTCTTCATTGGATGTTGCAATAATGACACCAATCACCTTTATAAAATAAAAACTGTTTGATTTTATTTTTTTCATAATGGTTTTGGTTGTTAAAATATAGCAAAGACCTTTAACTTCTTCATCTGATCTTAACATTGATATTCTTTCAAGAGCAATTGGAAGAATGTGGTAGTGGGCATCTTTGTAATGAATCATAATATTAACGGCGGATTTTTGACTAACATCCCTAATCTTTCTGTAACGATGTGTTGATAGATTTAAAAGCTCTTTGCAACACTGTAATACCATTTCTGTAAGGTTACTGAGATCAAAGTGATTCTTTTGTCTGGATAAGTGCATACGATAAGCTCTAAATATATAATAATTTCTACTGGCACACTTTTTATGATTTCTCCATTTTTCAAATAATGAATCTGAACCAAAATATGAGACATCATTTTTTATAAAAAATAAAACAAAAAAAGTTTTTGCAATTAATCTTAATACCTGAACTTCTTCATTCTTCTCGGCTTGTATATAACCAATTAGATCTTTTAAATTTTCAAAAATTTCTCTTTTTAATGTTGAAAACTCTTCTAAAATGACTAGGCCGTGTTCAAAAGTTAACTGTTTGTATTGTATTCTAAACTTTGCATTTTTGGGTGGAATAATTGGGGAATCATCTTTTAATAAATATGATGTGCTTCTCATGATACTTTGAATTGGTTTTAATAATCTTAATAAATCTGTTCTGTTGTATTGAATTGATTTATTCTTTATTCCTTCAACAGTTTTATTTAGTCTAGTATTTGTATTCTTTAAAAATTTTTCGATCAAAGTTTTTGCAAATTCTATAGTTTTTTCATTCTATGGTAAACAAAAAGTATAAATAAAATATTCATTATTAAATTATGTAATAATTTTTTTAAAATTTTTACTTACAGGTTCAAACCAATCAAGTGGATAGAATTTTGATTTATCGCTTGTTCCCCAATATTTAATATGGTTTTCTTTTGAATTTACAATTTCTTTTGAAGCAAAGGTATAGTTTGATGGATAGATTCTGGTTAACGAAAAGATAATTTTACGAACTACTTTAGAGGCGAATTTTAATACAAATTTGTTATCTGAGGACATTAGACAATTTAATATGTCAATTAATTGATCTTGGAATTTGACTAAGCCATCTCCACCTCTATAGACCATATAACCAATATAACCAATATATAATTTATATTCTTGATCTGATAACTCTTTTAATGAGTAGTTTGAAGTAAATGTTGATGGAATAGCAGCTGGTGGTGGTGATGAGGTTAAAATTGGTGAGTTGCTATTTGAATGCTTATGTTTAACAAATAACTTATTAATAAATACTGGTAAAAATGAACTGATTGATTGAACTGGGTCTCTTAAGGTTGAGTATTTTATAAAGTCTGAAAATAATTTATAGTATTCTGGTTCAAAGGATTTAGTAAAAAATTCGACTAAACGTTTTAATACGGCTTTGTAAATATCATCTGATAATGCGCTAAAGAATAGTTCTAAAGTATCACCAATAAACATTGATGGTGGAGCTTCTCTTTTGGTTGAGCTTTTATTTGAACATTTTAACATCTTTAAATAAAAAAAAGGTTAATATTAAATTTAAAATTTTTTTTAAAATACTTTAAAAAAGTTTGAAACATACAAAACTTATTACAGCATCAACAAATGAAACGGACCATTCTGAAAATGAAGCGGTTGTTAGAGTTGTGGTTTCATCAAGTTGGTTTTCACATTCCATAATGTAGGGTGTTTCATCGGCTATTAAAATACATGAAAATAATTTATTAAAGAATTTGAATGAACCAGATGCTTTATTTAAATAGATTGGATCTAAGTTTTTAATTAAAATTTCCATAAAGCTAAAAATTAACGATTTGCCCTCTGGTAATAAAGTTATAATTGGATGAATACATGTTGAAATTACTTCAATACCACTTATAACTCTATTAATTTCCTCTTTATCCATAGAATTGAAAAATTTATCTAAAACTTTTGGTAATACATAATTTGGTGCAACATCTAAAAATAATAATTAATATTGATTATTTATTTTTGTTTTGTTTTTAAAAAAATAAATTATACATACATGAAAATTCTTTAATAACTTTACAAACGTATAAAATACTATCTTTTCTCTTTGAATAAAGAGTACTAATTAATAAAGGAAAGAGAGTATCTAGAAATTCTATAATAACACTTTCTTCATATGGAACTGTTGCATAAATAAAAAAAATTAATAAATAGGTTTATAATTTTTTAATGAATTAATATTAAGATACTTACTATAAATATTTCTTTTTAAAAATGCTTTTGAAACAGAGCTTGCTAATTCACCTAAATTACTTGACCACTCACCTTGGTTTGATGGATGGAAATAAAGACTAATTTGACTAAAAAGATTTTTAAAAGCAATCATTGCTACTTTTTCAGTTGGTTTGTTGATAAAAGCGGCAATTAATTTACCCATTGAAAAAAATTGATCAGTTCCGTCGTGGTCAAATCTATAAAATTGTGGAATTTTGCTGGTACATGGTTTGATTCTATTGAGTGATGGCGAACTTAAATCAATAACCTTAACGAATCTTGTAAAGAAACTTGGTATTGATGGGCTCCAATCAATGTTGTGACCGTGTTTGACAACTCTAGACAATATAAATAGCCAACGTTCATCCCAATCTTTGTTAGCGTCAATCCAGTTCCAATAGAGATTTAAATAAGTATCGACCCACTTTGGCATTTCAGTCTTTTCTACTAAATGGTATGTTGGTAAAAATATATAGATTGAATTTTGTGCAAAGAAAATATAATTTGATTGTGGGATTAAATATCCTTTGATTTCTTCATGAATCCCTTCGATTACTGAATCACCAAGAAAAAATGCTCTTGCATATGAAACTAAAATAATAAAGTTTTTTAAAAATGGTGTGCATGTTATACTATAAAAGAATTTTTGTTAAAATTATGATTAAAGAGTGTATTAAAAAAATAAAAATTTTACTTACTCTTGATCATAGTTTTCATCAAATGAGATTACTGATGAATCAATATAACAATTGTCTTTAAAAATCTTAAACAATGGCTCCCATTTGATTTGAAGTTCAATTACTCTTTTACCTTTACTATATATAAAAAAAAAAGTTAATATCTAAAAAAATTAAAAAAAAAAAAAAAAAAATTATTTTACTTACAGTAATAATAGTGATATGAACGTCACAACTTCTAGCAAAACATCAGTTGATTTGAATTTTAGTAATAATGGGAATAATCTTGAAATTAAATAGTGATAGTGTTTTTTTAATAATGGGAAATTAAAAGCAGCTATACCATTCTTGATTGTTCCAATGGATTTCTTGATATCGGATGTGTTTGCTATCATTAAGGCATGATCGAAATTTCTAAGGACCGATTCTATAAGCTCATCTTGTTCCGGTAAGCATTTGTCTCTGTATGATGGTGGTACATTCCTCTGGATTTTATCTTTATTCTTTTTTAAAATGATTTCATCAGTTTTGGCTTTCTTTGAAAATTCTTTTCTATTTCTATACTTGTAATACCCAGTTTGGATTACATCTTCTTTTTTAAATGATACAAATTCATTATTTAAATCATCAATAGTATGATTAAAAAATGTAATTGTCATTTTTATTTTTTTTTACTTTTTTCTGGGTTAAAATATAAAAAATGTTTTTAAATTAATTTTTCTATTAATATTATTACTAATTTAGATATTATACAATTATTTTATTTTTTAAAATTATATTTATTATATTACAAAAAAAGGTTATTTGTTTGTAAATGAAATTAAAATTAATGAGAAAAAAAAAAATTAATTTTTTTAATTTTTTTGAATTTATTTTTAAAATATTTTTACAATAATTTTTTTTTTTTTTTTTTTTTTCCAAATTACAAATAAATTGGGTGTTGGATAGTTGCACTTTTGATAAAAAAAATAAAAATTGTCAATGTTGACTGTTTTGACAAATAATTATTGTTTTTTTAAAATAATTATTTGTTGTTATAATTAGAACCCTTATAATTACCTTTTTTGAACAAAGAGATAGATGATAATAAATATATGATATTAAATAAACAAAACAAAACAAAACAAATAAAATAAAATAAAATAAAACAAATAAAATAAATAAATTAAATAAACAAAATATAAAATTATAGAATAGATGTTTTATAATTTCCAATTTTTTTTAATAAAAAAAATAAAAAAAATATATAATATAAAAAAAAAATGATATCAACTGTTTTTTTTTTTTTTAATTTGCAAAATTGATTTTTATAATTAAAATTTTATTGGTTTTTTGTAATTTGTCAAACAATTCTCGCACCAACACTAAAATTTTTGTTTGTTCACTTTAGAATGTGTTTTTTTTGCTGTGTTTGAGTTTGTGTGTTAATGTGGGTTACTAAAAATATATCAAAAAAAAAATTTTAAAAAAAAAAAAGACACTTTTCATCACTTTCATTCACAAAATATAAAAAATAATAATTTTCATACATGCATATAAAAAAAAAAAAAAAAAATATATTTTATAAAAGAGAAAACTAATATTTTTATTTATTTAGTAAAGAGAGAAGTCGTTAACTTCAAAAATTATAAATATGATTAAAATGATAATTAATAATATTAAAAAAATTGCAAAAGGTACAAAGAGAACCATTGAAATAATGGACACTATTCTGGCCTTTCTATTAAAGCTTTGAACATATTTTACATTTACAATGAATGGCACCACAAAGATAAATCCTAAAAAGAACAGTATTAATGAGTTTCTAAAATCATTTTGATTTTCATTTTCATGGTCAAGTATAATGATTTCCTTTATCTTTTTATTTGATAAAATTTTTTGGTAATCTGATACAGGTTTGTTGATGACTGTCATATTAATTTATAAATTAAGAAATTTTAAATTCTTTTAAAAAAATAAAAACAAATAAATATTTAAATTTTTAATTTTTAAATAAAATAAAATTAGAATCATTATTATCACAAATAAAATAAAATTTATTATTTCTTATATAATAAGGTAAAAAATACCTGCTGTTCATTCTTATATTTTAAAGAGTTCTAGGGTGGGGTTAATCTTCAGAAATTAAAAAAAAAAAAAAAAAAGAAAAAATATAAAAAAATAACCACACTCACTCAATGTTTCAGGTATAATTTTAATAGTATCTCTATTACACTTTACTTTTATGGTATAGTACAGTAGTAATTAACCTTTCAAACATTTTGTGTGTGTTATAAATAATTATATATAATGGTGAAATTATTTAGGTTTATTTAAAAAATATTTTAAAACGTTTCTCTAATAATGGAGAGAGACTGTAATATAGAATTATAGCAACAATAACCAATACGCTAATAATGAATAATACAATAGAGACAATTGATAGTTTTCTAGCAGTTTTATTTCTACTTTTTAAATATTTTATATTAAGACCCCAAGGTAACACAAATAAAAAACCCAAAAGAAAAAAAAATAATGAATATTTGAAATCTTTTTTATTTTGTACTTGTTTTAGTATTTCATAATTTGATGTTTCAATATTTGATCCATATTTAACTGATATAGGAACCTCTTCAAAATCTTCACTAATTTGAATGAATGGGATATTATCACTTTCAACATTATATTCATTATCATAAAAACTATTTTTTTTTTCCATAACCATCTTCTTTTTTTTTTAATATATAAATATATATATAAAAATATAATGAAATGAGTTATTTTCGAAATTAAATTATGTGAAAATAATTATGAAAAAACAAATAAATTAAATAATAATATTTAAATATATTTATTATTTTTATTTTTTAAGTTGGGGGTAAAATTGAATATTTTTTTTATGATTATCACACTATATTTAAACACTCAGAGTAATAAAAAAAAAAAATAAAAAAAATAATTAAAAATTTATATATTCTTTTTTTATTTAATATATTATTAAATTAATAATCACTATTACTATTCTTATGAATCGAGTCAATTATTAAAACTAAAAAAATATAAAAAAAAATAAATATAATTAATGTGAGTATTGCCAAAATAAATAAAACTAGTGAAGCAATGGATAGTCCCTTAGCAACCTTATTTCTTGATTTTAAGTACAACGTGCATACAATCCAGGGAATAACGGTAATAAAGCCCAGTAAAAACAATATTAGAGCGGGTATCAAATGTTTTTCGTCAGGAGATATTTCAGCTTCGTTAGTTCTATATTCTACTTGTTTGCTTTTTTTATTACTTTCTATATCTTGACATGCCATTTTAGTTCTGTTGTTTTTATAATATCTTTAAAAAAAAAATAATAAAAAAGTTTTTTATTATTTATAAATAAAAAAAAAAATAAAAAAAAAATAAAATAAAACAAAAGAAATAATTTGCATTCTTTGATAATAGGGAAAATACACATAATATAGTTTTTATTATTAAAGAAATGATATATTATTATTAACACAAATAATGTGGGGTAAAAATTTTTGTACCATTAAATTTAATGTGTTAGTGGTGTGTAACTACATTTACTCTTTATATCTAAACATTTTTCTTTTTTCGTAAGGAATTGAAATAATTTTAATAATAAATCTAGATTATAGTGATAGAAAATATAAAATACATTATAAATAAGTGGATGAATTAGTTGTTATATATTTATTTATTTTTTAAAGATTTTTTTTTATTTATTTTTATTAAATTAAAAATCAATTGGTTTATATCTTTTTATTTCTCTTAACCTTCTAACTCAAAATGAATCCACAAACTAGAGTAATAATAACTACTGCTTTGAGAGCGGCTGGAGGTCCATAATCTTTATTTTCAGAATCTTCACTATTAGTATTGCCAGTAACACCACATATTTCGAGTTTTTCTAAATTTCCTTTAATTGAATAACTGTTAACACCACCAATCTTGCATGTAATACCATTTGAAGATTCTTTGAATTATTATTATTATTATTATTATTATTATTATTATTATTATTATTATTATTATTATTATTTGAGAAATCTGTATTATTATTAAAAACAATTAATGAGTTATTGAAAATTTTCAGAAACCTTTGAACTTGGTAAAAATGCAGTATTGGTTGTTGATAACATTAACAAAGAGAGAGCACCGCCCATACTAGTTGATTTACCGTTTATATCGAAACCTCCTTTACTTGTAACATTATTATATACGCATCTATTGAATGATACAACACTTGAAGTACTTTATAAAATGAAAAAAAAAACAACACAAATGATAAATTAAAACAATTTTCTAAAGAAAAATATTACGTTTATATTGGGGGATTTGATGATGTGTAGTTCTACGACTATTCCTAAACATTATAAAACAGAACCTCTTTGTGATTCCTTTGAATTAAATATTTGTTACTATATTTTATTTTAGATATTTATGATTTTTTAAGATATTTATAAAATAATCATACTTTTCTTTTTCTGAATAAAATTTTTTCATTTTTTTTTTCACAAAAAAATCATTTTTTTTTTTCTCTCTTTAATATTATTTAATTAATAAGCTTTAGGAAAAAATTAAAAGTTGATTTTAAAGAAAAAAAAAAATATTTTGAATTTAAAATAAAAATTTTTTTAAGTCATTTTGAATTTAAAAAAAAAAATTTAAATTTAAAAAACTTAAAAAATGTTTTATTAATTTTTTTTTAATTTTTTTATAACACACAATATTTTTTTTAAATAAAAAGGTAAGATCATAAAAATAAATATATTCAGTTAAATTATTAATTTTTTTTACTTTTTTAATATTAGATGCAAACAAATATATATGATAAAAATCAAGAAAACCTTTCCAAAAATGTTAAAGAAAATTTAAATGATCCTTATTATCATAAAATTAAAATTAAGCTTAATAAAATTTTCAATAATAATAACAATGATAATATTAAAAAAATAATAAAACTTATTAAACCACCACAACAACTTTTAACCAATCCTTGCACTCGAACAGAGTTTTTACATTCACCCAATAAAAACCATAAATTATTTAATCCAATAAAAATAAATTTAGAAATAATTGAAAAATTAATAGATGATATTAGAAATAGTGAAAATAATAATAATAAAAATAAAGATTCAATAATTAAGGATTTATTAGATCTTTTTTTTCAATACCAAACATCACATGAATCATTTATAGAAAATGTAACAAACATTGCTAATGAATCTTTAAAATCAACTGGAAATCCTGCATCACATAATATTTTAAAATCTCCACCATTATTTATCAGTGAAGATTTGGAATATTATCAAGTTAAATCATTAGACCAAGCCTATAATATTACATCTTATGACCCAGTTGAGTATGAATATAAAAAGAAAAATAAATCAGGAACTAGTTATGTAAGTTTGTTTGATCAAGTTTGTTACAAAATCGATAATGGATCTCATCTATTAAAACCAGCAAAAGAATATGCAATATATCACTTCAATAAATCATTATTCCCAACATTACTTCTAGTTTCTCCAACTCAGTTATTTGTTTTAGATAATTTAGAAACTTTTTCAATTGACTCATTACCACCAGATATTAGGAAACAATTAGGAGAAGAAAAAACAAATTGTGATGAACATTCGATTTCAAAACTTTTAGAAAAAGCTCCACACACTTATAAAATTATAGAAAATGGTTTGAAAAACGAAACAGTTTTTATTCAAGCATCATTATTTATTAAAGGAGAAACACTTGAGAATTATTTAAAACGAACAGATACAAACTATAATCAAATTAATTTGAAAAGTTACAGTTCACATATTATATCAAGTTTATTATCTATTCAAACAGATTACCACCCAAATAATCTTATATTAGAAGAAAATACAAATAATATTATTGGTATTGATAACGACGAGTCATTGGAATCAAATGAAATCGAAATATTACCAAATAACAACAAAGATGCTTATACTAAGGTCGGTAATATATTGTTTACACTCAAAGAATTAATGGAACAGCAAATCGATGAAGAAGTAAAAAATCAATTTATTCAACACACACCATCACTCTTTATTTTAAAATGGTTAAAATTAAATCAAAAGAAACAATCAAACTATGATGACATAATTTATAAATTGTTAGATCCTTTTGAAACTCATGACCAACATCATAACAATTTTAGAAATGAATTAAATTTACCTTTAGAGTTTAATAAAGGTTGGATAGTTTCAATGTTTCAAAGATTTAAAGCAATTAGACAACATTTAATTTCAAATCCAAACACTACACACCAGGCACTATTTAGTTTAATACATCCACTTTTAAGTAATTACTACACACTATTATCAAATAAATACTCAAATCCATTGGATATAATTGGTTCAATAAAAAATGAAAATGAAAACACAAAAATGCCATTTAATAAATTATTAGAATTAAATAAATACTCATCACATATATCTCAAGAAAATATTCAAGAATTAATTCAAAAAATAACAACTATTAATCAAGAGAAAATATCCATTACAGATGCAATTAAAGAACTTGTATCTCAAACCGATTATAATGACTTAATAGAATGTAAATCTTTACATGGTGTAAATGAATGTGGTCCATTTTGTAACACTGATTGTAAAACACGAAATATTATTGTCGAATGGTTAGAAATCGTATATTCAACATATAATGGAAAAGATGATAAAGTTCCATTCCACGAATCTTGGTATCAAAATAAAGATCATTTATTTAAAAGATTATTAAAATATGGAACATCTATCAATTGTATCGAACTAGTTGTGAAATCATTGGATATCAAAATTAATAACGAAAATTATTTTTCAACTATAGTTGATAGCGGAATACTAAAGAATTCAAACAGCTGGTGCTTGGTTCAATTTTTAATCAATTATTTTAGTCTAGATATTGAAAGAATTGAAAATGGATATACATTATTAGATTTATCATCATCAAATTGCAATTTTGATGTATTCATAAATTTAATAAGAAAGGGTGCTGGAAAAAATTCAAATGGAATATATATTGGTTTATTTTATCAAACATTCACACATCAACAAAAATTAGAGTTAAAACCTTTCTTAACAAATTTATTTTTAATTAATCCGAAAATTACATGGATTATTTCATTAAATCAACTATTCCCTTTAGAAAATACAATTACAAACAATAATAACAAATCAATAAAATATTTAGAAACAGATGGAACATTAAGAAGAGTAATATCAGAAGAGTATTGGAAACAACTATTTGATCAAGATGGCGAGCCAAAGAAAACAAATGAAAAAGGTGAAAGAGCAGTCACACTAATTGAAGATGAATATGGTAATGGTATCTATTTAAAATTCAAACCACAATTCCCAGGTATTGAATATGCAGTACAAATACTATCAGAACAACTATTTGGTGAAAATTTAACAACTTTTTGTGAATTAGGATTAATCAATTCAATTCCAGTATTATTATCACAAAAAGTACCAGGTGAAGATTTAGTAGATATACTAAATCAATATCCAAATACAATTAATCAAATTGAATCTTCAAATATATCAAAGCAAATAATATTATCAATAATTATCAATAATGCCGATGGTAATTTGGGAAACTATATTATTGTCCAAAATAGCAACCTAAACAATAAAACCACTTTCAAAATGTTTTCAATTGATAATGATCAATCATTTATGCCATCAAAAGCTACTGGATTATTAAAACTCTCAATTTTTTCCAAACCTTTACAGTCCGAAACTGTATTATTTTTATTTGATCAAATGAATCATGTTGTGCATCAAGATATTATCAATTGTTTCAAAGATTTAGATATTTTTAATTTTTTAGAAAAATGGCTAGAAAATTTAATAACTTATCATAATAAGATGCTAAAACTATTTTCATCAAAAAAAGAAGAGTTAAAACAAAATAAAGAAACTATTATTGGAGTATCTTTTAACAATGGAATGATTATACATTTATATTCAAAACTTAAACGTTTACAACAACTATTAAGAGATAACTCTAAAGAACCAACTACTCACCTAGATTTATTAAGATATATAGAACCATTGGTTGCAAATAGATACAAACACTGTTTAAGTTTAAATATATCAATTAAGGAAAGATATAACAAATATTTCAACTATATAAATCCAACAATCCAAAAACTAACTTGCACAACACACTCATCAGCACAAATATTACAATCAAAAGGTATTCCATATTCAAATGTTATCATTTCAAAACTATGGGAGGAAGAATATAGTCCAGTTAAAACCTTAGGTGAACTATACAATCAAAACAAAAAAGTAAAGCATTTATCAAATCTAATTCTAAAACTAAAACAAAAAGATTCATATATTATATCAAATTATGAAATTGAATGTTTATTAGAAGCAGATTTCAGTACAATTACAGATCAACAATATACTACACTTTCTAAATATTTAAAATTAAAAGAAATATCAGTTCTCAATTTTAGAAATAGTAAAATACAATTTAATCCACCCAAACAATTTAATTTACACTCAATTGTCGTACTCGATTTATCAGGATGTACCAATTTATATAATTTAGGAACCCAAGGGTACTTTTCAACATTAGAATTTAACCTATTAAACAAACTAAAACTTGATAGGTGCCCAAAACTTTCATCAGTTAATGTTTCAGCTCCAAATTTAGTTTTTCTGAGTGCTACCGAATGTAAAAAGCTAGATGATATTAATATTAAAACACCATCTATAAAATATTTAAATTTAAAAGGTTCTAAATCAACAAACTTAGATATTTTAGATTTATGCCAATTCAATTTATTTCATAAAGCATCTAACAATTTAGAGTACCTTAACTTATCAGAAACTGAATTGATTATACCAATCGTAATCAAATCCACCAAATTAAAATGTTTAGATATCTCATTCATGAAGAAATTAAAAACTGTATTTTTAGAAGTACCATCAATAGAATCTATTAACTTCCAAGGATGTGAATCATTAAATGTAATTTCAACAATTTTTTATGAAGACGAAATTTTTAATATTAAGAACTATTTAACTTCTTCAGAACATTTTCAACAAGCACGAAGTACTTGTATGTTTAAAGGGGAAATAGATGAATACGTTTTTATAAAAACACATGGGTCTTTTGGTTTTTATAAACCCTATTTCATTCCTTATTATAATCTTAAATATCTTTTGGTAGAAAAACATATATTTGAATATAGATATCCTGATTATCAATATAATATATTTTGTCATGGAGCATTTGATTTAATTCAATCATTTAATTATTTTTTATGCAGTATCATATCAATAGAAATCTTAATTATAGGAAATATAGGAATACCATTGAATCAAAAATCAATACCAAATGATTTACTCTTTATAAGATTCAATAATTACAATCATCCATTAAACCCATCGATTATTCCTAAAAACATCAACATTGTTCAAATGTATACCCAAACCCATGATTCAAATTCACCAAAAGATAAAACAACAATTAATTACAACAAATTTATAAATACTTTTAATATTAAACAACTTCTTATTTTTAAATCAAAATATTGGTTTGATTATAGAGGAAATAAAAATAAAAATATTTTTTCAAGAATACCAAAACTAATAGGAAAACATGGAAAAATGGAAATGGATGTCCCAAATTTAGAAAATATCCCAAATGGGATAGATATCCAATTTTTAGAACCCAATATAGCTTTTAAAAAAATGTTAAATATCCAATCAATAAAAGAAGATGTAGAAATTTTAGAATACTGGGATAAAATTAATACAACAAATGAAACTATTCCAAGCGATATAGAATATTTATATTTAGGTGAAATTGAAGGATCATTACCAACCATTCCAAATTCAGTGACATCTATAGAGCTTTGTAATGAATTTAATCTCAAACTATCACCTGGAGTTATTCCTGATTCGGTAACTTCTATCTATATTGGTGATATTAAAGAACCACTATATCAAGATTCGATACCAAAAAGTATAACCCGAATTGATGTATTCCGAGGATACAAACACTCACTAAAGAATATTATACCAGATTCAGTAACATATTTATATCTCGAAGAATTCAAACATCTAGATCAAATAGTATATTCACTACCTAAAAATTTAAAAATCTTAAATTGCAGCAATACATTGTTATCTTACCCTCATATTTTAAAATATAAAGACATTTTAGATAGATATAGGGTATTCATTTAAAAATTTTTAAAAAAAATTATTTCTTTTTTTAAATAAAATAATCTCTTTTTTTATAAAAAACCATTCATTTTTATTTTTATCCATTTTATAAAATTTACCATTAGATGTAAATAATTATAATAAAATTATTATATATATTTTTTTTATTCTTATTACTTTTGTTTTAGAACCCTGTTTGAACTCAAAGAAATAAATGAACAAGTTTGTTGTAAAATAAATAAATGGTTTAATAAAATAAAAAATAAAAAAAAAAAAATAAAAAAAAATAAAAAAATTTTTAAAAATTTTAAATTTTTTTTTTTTTACACCAACTTTTCATTTTTACACCAAATTTATTATTCTTTTTCTCTTCTATTTTGTTTGTCAAATTGAGATTCAAAACCATAGATCAGCCAATTCATCGAGTATGAGGACAACATTGTTCCAACTTTTAAAATATTTTAATTTTTTATTTTATTTAGCTATTTAAAGTTGGCGAAAAAGAAAAATATAATAATATGTGTGTTTGTGCTGTTATTTTACATCTATTGGTAAATTTTTTAAATGAATAATTTTTTATTAAAAAAGAGATAATTTTTTCTAAAATTTTTTAAATGAATATGTGTACGACAATTGGTAAAAAACTGAAGATAATGATAATTTTTTATCACTAATTTTTTATTAAATTTTTAAAAATCAATTGGCTTATATCTTTTTATTTCTCTTAACCTTCTAACTAAAAAAATTGAAAAAGAAGTTATCAAAATAAATCCACAAACTATTGTAATAATAACTACTGCTTTGAGAGCGGCTGGAAGTCCATAATCTTTATTTTCAGAATCTTCACTATTAGTATTGCCAGTAACACCATATATTTCGAGTTTTTCTAAATTTCCTTTAATTGAACAACTGTTAACACCACCAATCTTGCATGTAATACCATTTGAAGATTCTTTTGAATTATTAGTTGAGAAATCTGTATTATCATTAAAAACAATTGATGAGCTATTGAAAATTTGTATTTGAGAACCATTACAAAATACTACCGAACCTAAATTTGCCATATTATTATCGAATGTCGTATTTTCACTTACTATTAAAATTGAATTTGATAAATAAATTGAGCCACCATTGTATATTGCTTTATTTCTTGAGAGTAATGTATCTTCAAGACTGATACTTTGACCAATATATTTACCAGAGGCATAGATTGCTGCACCGTTGTTGGCATTGTTGTTTTTAAATTCACATCTTTGAAATATAGCTCCAGATGATGATAAGGTTATAGAACCACTGCTATTATTAGAGTATGTATTGCTATTGTTCGAAAAAATGCAGTTTTTAAATTGTGGACCAATATAACTAGCCGAAACATATACTGATGAAATATTACTATTATTTGTAAAATTAGAGTTTGAAATGGTATATAATTTGGCACCAGAGAGATAGAGGCCAACACCACCACCTATATTATTGGTAAATGTAACATTGGACGCAGAAAAACTAGCCGACATGTATACTGCAGATTCTTTAAAATTGCAATTTGAAATGATAGTATTATACATTGTGTAGGTCTGTTCTAAATAGTTTCCAACTGTATAAATTATAGCACCAGCATCACCTGTTATATTCCTGAATACACACTGATTGATAGATACCGCTATATCAATACCACGAGCTACATATAAAAAGCCACCCTTTACACCAATTATGTTTGAATTTTGATAGGTACAAGATATAAAAGAAACCTTTGAACTTTGTAAAAATGCAGTATTGATTGTTGATAACATTAACAAAGAGAGAGCACCGCCCATACTAGTTGATTTACCGTTTATATCGAAACCTCCTTTACTTGTAACATTATTAAACACGCATCTGTTGAATGATACAACACTTGAAGTACCATGATTTACCAAAATGGATGCTTGATTTTCTTGATAACCATTTACAAATGTAATACCACTAACATTTATAGTGGAATTTGTATTATTTGAGCTATTGCAATCGATATTAAAGAATGTATTAGTTGCTCCATTTAAATCAAATACAACCGATGTATATGAAGTAGCTGTGAAAAACTATATAAACCTGGTGAAAAACTATATATAGTTTCATTATATTGCTGAATATTACAAGATTCAATTGCTAATGTAAAAGATGGGCATGCTGTATTTAAACTTTGACCACAGGGTATTTGAATATATGTTGATTTATTATTAATATAACTTGTACAGCTTTCATTATCTTTAAGACCATTGGATATACTAATTGAAAAAATTAAAATTATAAAAAATATTAATTTCATTTATAAAATATTGTAATATAATTATAACTATAAATAATTCTAATTGTAATAAAATAAAATTGATGAAAAAAAAAAACTTTATATAAAATGAAAAAAAAAAACACACATGATAAATTAAAACAATTTTCTAAAGAAAAATATTACACTTACGTTTATATTGGGGGATTTGATGATGTGTAATCCTGTTTTATAATGTTTAGGAATAGTCGTAGAAACTATTTGTGATTCCTTTGAATTAAATACTTATTATTATATTTTATTTTAGATATTATGATTTTTGAAGATATTTATAAAATATTTATACTTTTCTTTTTTCAAATCAAAAAATCAAAAAATCAAAATGAAAAAAAAATCATAAAAATAAAAAAAAAATAAAAATTTTTTAAAAAAATAAAGAAACCTCCTAACTAACATTTTATTTATTTTTTTTATTTATTTTATTTATTAAAAAAAATTTATTTTTAATGCATTTTTTAAAAATTTTTTTTTTTTTTTAAATTTTGATGTTTTTTTTACTTAAAATTTTTTTTTTTTTTTAGATTTTGTTAATAATTATTATAATTATAGAAACTCAAACCTAAATTCTTCATTAAAAAATGTTTATTTTTGAAAAATAACAAATTTTTACTATTTTGGTGTCCAAGCATGGTAATTCCGAAATTATTTATGTTTGACTCTAACTCTGATAAAACTAAAATCAAATTTTAAATGTGTAATAGCATGGATATTTTTTTTAAACAAATAAATATTATTCATATCTTACCATTAGAAGAAAGGTTAGCACGTGGTCACTGGTGTGACGTCACGATAAAAGCGAATTCTGAAATTCACGTCATGATAAAAACGATTTCAAAATTTCAAACCGTTTTACTGTATTTATAGATGGTAATCTAGCTTCAACAAGCAGCGCACCTACAAAACAATATAGGGCCAATATACATAGTGGCAAAGAAAAATAGAATGTATATCAATAATTGGTATTGTCGATGGATTAGGAAAGTTTCAATATCTTTTTCATTCTTTCCAAGGATCTATATCTGATCAGATATCATTAAATTTTCTTAGTTTAGTAGAAGTTGTTGGGTTGCTTACAGATGAAGAATTTTTGGTTGCTGATGCAGCATTTCCTAAAATTAGGCAATACTGTGAAAATGTTATACCAAAATCCAAGTGTGAATTAAACTAAAGTATTTCAAGATATGGTTCCTTAATAGAAAGAGCTTGGTCAATTAGAAAAATGGAAAATACTTGAAAAGTATAGACTAATGTAGACCGAGGACCAATCGGTTGTAGAAGTCTGCGAAAAACATAACCAATAAACCTCTTGGTGAACCATCATCATTACCTTCGGTCTATAGTGGGATTTATTGTAGGAAACCAAATCTCAACTACCATAGAGAAATATTCAATCATTCCGATCAACTCATCGATTTATACCAAAATTTTTAATAAAAAAAACACTAAAAAATTAAAAAATATTGAAATAAAACAGTTTTTTTTATTTTTTTAGTGTTTTGTTTAATTTTTTTTTAATAAAATTTCACACAAAATAATCTAATTAAAAAAAATTAAAATAAAAATTTTGGTTTAAACAAATTTTTATAAAACATGTTGCAAGAAGCTATCGTATTACTTTTTATGGGAAAAGCTTTATAAACTAAAAAAACCCAATTATATATATTTATATATTAATTATTAATTGAGTGTCTAACAAAAAATAATATGTTTTTTTAAAAAAATAATAGTAAAAAAAAAAAATTCTCCCTTTTTTTTTTGATTGGATTTGTTGAGGTTTTGGTTTAACCTACATTTTAAAAATAAAAATAATTATGAATACGTATATAATTTAATATTGATTATTGTTTTTTTGGAAAAAAAAAAAAAAAAAAAAAAACCATAATTCCCTTTTTTTTTTTTAAAAAAAAATTTTAAATGAATAAGCTTACGAAAATGGGTAAAAACTGAGAATAAAGATAATTTTAATTCACTATTGGTTATTCATTTGCGTTAAACAATAATTTTGAATAATTTGAAAGATGCCTTTAAGATTTTATAGGTTTTCCAGCGAAAATTAGATGGAAAACCAAAAAATTAAAAATTTATTATTAAAAATTAAAAAAATATTAATATTTTTTTCTTTTTTTTTTTTCTCAAAAAACTATTTAAAATTTTTTTAATTTATAATATATTTTTTTCTTTAATATTAAATTATATCTTTTTTTCTTTTAAATTATAGTTTATTATTTTTATTCCTACTCATCTTTAAAAAAGTAAATATTTATACATCTAATATTAAAAATCTAAAAATCAAATTTTTTTTAAATCTTTAGTTTTATACAATAGCTATGGACAAATGGGATATAAATCAAGTTTTAAAGAATTTAAAAGAAAAAGATGCTTCATTGGGTGATAAACTCACAGAAATGGTCAAAATTAGCAATCAATATGAACTTCTATCTAAGGGTGGATGTAAAAATGTCCAAGCAATAGCCTTAAAAATACTGGGTATTAATCCTAGGGAATTTGATATTAGTGTTGGATTGGTTGAGAGTGGTATTCGTTCTACCAAAAAAGCAGAAGATATCCTACCATTTTTCTCGCTTGAAAACAAGGACAATGTGATTGTGCCAATTGCAATTACAGCGACTTCAAATGAATCAGAATATTGCCACAGAATGATTCTTTATCACGAAGAAGCCCAATACAAGTTATATCATTCATTTAGAATTGAAGATTTGAAAATTGACATCCCATGCCAAATAAATATTATAGAAAATATTGATGTTTGGTTAAAAAACCTTAAAAGTTTTTTATCCTCTGTTACTTGGACTGAAGATACTAATCGTTTATATTGGAGTTTTGTCTGTTTAGATTCAAAAGATTTAAAACTTAAAATAAATTCAAAAATTCAACCTGCAATGTATTTAGAAATAAATAAAATTAAATAACCAAATAACTAAACTAAATTAATTAATAATACATAAATCATAACAAAAATGAATTATAATTTATAAAATTCATAAATTAAAAATATATAAATAAAAAAATTAAATTATAAAAATAAACAAACAAACAGAAACCATTAAACTAAATACTCAATCTTTATTTATTACTTTTTCTATTTTATTTTATTTTATTTTATTTTATTTTATTTTATTTTATTTTATTTTATTTTATTTTATTTTATTTTATTTTATATTGTTGCGAAATGTATCTCATTAAAGCTGAAGTATAAAGCAATTTAAATCGATTTAATATTTGATATTTTTCTTTTTATATAACTCCTTGGTTTATTAATAAACAAGAAAAAAATCTAAAAATACTTTTATAATTAATATATTATTAATACATAAAATTTAATAGATATTTACGGTTAAAAAAATTTTAATTTTCATTTTCATTTCATTTTTATAAATATTTATTTTATTTATAATATTTTCTTTTTTTTTTTAATGTAAAACGAAAATTTTTAATATTTTTTTTTTATTTTTTTTTTATTATTTTCAATATTCACATCATAAAGAAAAAAGTGTAAAAACAAATTACTCAACATGACTTTTATCAAATAAAATAAATAAATATATTATCAAAAAAAATTATCAAAATATTAAATAAATTTTTTAAAAATTTTTTTTTTTTAAATTAAAAAGTTGGCATTAAATTAATTTTTTATTAGGGGTTTGTGTTTAAAAAATAAACAGTGATCACTACTTTTTTTGATAGCTATAGATCAAAAATTTAATAGAATGTACAAAAAAGGGTAAAATCATTTGGGATCTATTGTATTTACAAAAGGAAATATTAATGTTTCTTAATTAAATTTTTATTTTTTTTTATTTTCAAAATCAATTTTAAAACGCTATAAAAACTTTTTTCGAATTTATTTTTCATTAAATTCAAGCTAGAAATCCAAAGCAATTTGTGTCCAATAAAGCTTAAATTTATCGCTTCCATCCAGTGTCCACCCAAGCTTAGTATTTGTTTCCTGTGCAGCCAATAATTTTATATATATATTTTATATTTTATTTTATACATTTTTACCCTTCTTTACATCAAGTAAATATAAAAAATGGGTAACTTTTTTTCAAAAAAGGTAATTATCTCTTATATAACATACATTATAAACAAAATAAATACTAATTATAGTTTTATTTGTATTTAGGATTCTATTTTTGAAAAAAAAGTAGAAGCAATGGAATCCAAAATTAGTAATTTGGAGAACTATTATTATAATAATTATAATAAAATTATTATTTGTTTTTTTATTATTGAATTATTTTTAGCAACTTTTATGAAAAGTTTGCTTCATCAAGTGACACTTTGTCTGAAAAGGCAATTTGTTTTATTTATTCATTATTAACTTCAATGATGTAAGTTTTCCATTTTTAATTTATATATCTTTATATTTGTTTATTATAGATTTTAACATTTATATTATCATTTTAGGATCTATTTTTTAACCAAGTTATATAGATTTTCATTTGAAATAATTATAAAAAATAATGAAAAAAAATTAAAAAATCATGATGGTCTTGTAAAATTATTTGAAGACAGAAAACTTGAAACAGATTTTGAAAGGACTAAAAAACTTTAAGAAGAGTATGAAGTTTCAAAAAAAATAGTAGGTATTCATTTAAATATTATATCTGTAGTAATGTAGTGTCTAACTAATTTTTTAGATTTTAACAACAGATACAATCCAGACCATCAACCACCATAACGACCACCAATACAACCACAACCTCAACATATCTTAGAAGATATAATATAGATAATAAAATAAAATTGAAAATAATGATTTAGAATCAAAAAAAAAAAAAAAAATTAGAATATTCCATAGAAACCAAATAAGAAAAAGACTAAGAAGGATTTATCATATGTTCAAAATCCATGAAGGTAAAGATCCAATCAAAGTAAAAGACCTTCAATTAAATCAAAACCAATAATTTTTTTCATTCTAATCAACTATTTGATGAATATCAGACATTGTTCTGGCCAAGCAACTATGGTATCATCGAATGGTTTTAGATGAAGAAAAGATTTAGTGGTTCCTATCCGGCAGCTTCCAAAAAACTTGACACAAGCTCTTAGTAAATCCATAATGTCCAATTATATAGCTGTGCTTTCAATTGATAGTTTTCGATGACCACCAGATTAAAATCATGATTAAGCTGCCACTTTTATTTTTATTTTAAAATTATTTAAAATTAATCAAATAAAAATAAAGATAGATTCTTTTTATAAAATTTTTTCAATAAAAATTTGAAATTAATTTAAAATTTCACATTCATTCCTAATTTAAAAAGTATTTAACATTTCCTTTAATTTTGAAAAGTCATCATAAACATAAATATACTTTGATTTTTTATTTAGTTTCATTAAAGATTTTTAAATTTTAGTTTAAAAAAAAAAAACCTAAATTTAAAAATCAGCTTAACAATATTTATGTTATATTATTAATATAACATAATCTTTGTTATTATTATTTTTAAAATAATTTTATTTATAGTTTTGGAGTAACGTGGGTCATATCAATTGCAACACCGGTTGAGTTTTCATTTAATACCAATGGTAATACTTGACATTCTTTCCAAGTCATCCATGAGTTTTTAATTTCGTCTTCATTAGAGATGACAATGGCAAATAAAGCATCAAAACCACCAGCACCTGGGACACCAGCAGCAACACAACCTTTGATGTTCATGGTCGAATCGGCCAATTCAGTTTGTTCTTTTGGTTCTAATGGTACATCAGCAATAGCACCCATTTCCCTCATTAATTCTCTGATTCTGTAAAAGGATTGTCTAATGTTGATTAAAGTTTTGCCAATATTATAGTTAAATGTTCCTTCTTGACTACCTGACAATTCATTCCATTTATTTTGATCGGTTTCACCGAATTGATTTAAAACTCTAAGGTATTCTTGATTATTTTCTTGATATAATTGATTTAATTTAATAAATGAATGTTTAACATTTGTATTTTCCATATCTAATTGATTCCATAATTTATCGGCATTGGTTGGGTCATTCTTTCTCCACTCTAAAATTTTTTTGACCATTACCGGTGTATTGGATCCAATACTAACATCTGCTAATAATAATTTTAATCCGATTGGTAATCCCATATCTAAATGTTTATTATCCCAATCATTACTTTTAATAATTTCTAATAATTCTTTTGGATTTGGATATAATTTTGAATCATACTGAATATTTAAATTAGTATTTATTTATGTAAATAAACAATAATAATGATTTAAATAAATACTTACCAATTTTAATATACTTTGAATAATTTCTGGTGAAAATCTTCTATAAACTTGACTACCAAATACGGCAGAGCTAATATCAAAACCACTGCCAATTTTTCCTTGGGCAATACAATGTGAAATTTGAGCTAAATTGTGTAATAAAGTTTTATCAGCTAATAATTTATTCGAGTCTGATTTATTTTCTAATTCTACAATATTGAAGAATGATAATAAAGCTGCAGTTAATGAGCTAACTAATGCTGCTGAACTACCTAAACCAGTTTTTTGTAATTCTTCTAATGATCCTGTAACTGGTAAAAATTTTGGCAAAGATTTTAATGATTCAAATGAAATTGATAAATTTCTTTTTTTTAACTATTAATGAATAATAAATTAATTAATACTATCCAAACATTTAATGGAATTATTTTATAAACAATATCATATACTTACTTGTGGAATTTGGGAATAAAAACCATTATCTCCAACAATTGTAATATTAATTAATTGATATTTTGATGCTTTATTATTGAATTGAGATTGATCGTTTTCATTTTCAATTGCTGACATTGTTAATAATGAATATAAAATTGTATTTTCGACATATTTATTTTCTCTATAATTTTCATTATCAAATGGAACTAATTCATATAATTTGTTTTGGTTTTGTTTATTGTAGTATAAGTGGTATTTTTGTGATGAGTGGAATTGTGGTGAAATTACGTTTATATCTGTAACAAATTCTAAATTTTCATATGATTTGGTTAAAATATCTTTTTCGTGGGTTGATTTTGATGTTGTTTTTTCAATTCCTTCCACAGTTGTAAAAAATCTTGAATCGATAGTAAAAACAATACCATCATATTTTTTATCCAAAACTAAATATCCACCAGTTACTAAAACTTTACCTGGTGATGAACAAATAATTTTTTTATTCTCCATTTTATTTTTTATTAATAATATAATTATACAAAGCTATTATTATAATTATTTAAAAAAAAAATAAAATGAAAATCATAAAAAAAAAATAAAAATAAAAATAAAAAAAAAAAAATAAAAAAATAAAAAAAAATAAAAATAAAATTTTTTTAAATTTTTTTTATATAAGCAATTTCTTTTTTTTTTTTTTTATTTATTATATATAAATATTTACATATATTTTTAAAACTTTTTATATTTTTTATATTTTTATATTTTTAATTTTTTTCAAACCCATTTATCCAATTAAAAATTTAATTTAAAATTTGGTGGTGTGAAAGAAAGTTGGGGTGGCGAGTATTTAATTTTTTTATTTTTTTTAATTTTTTATTTTTTTTAATTTTTTTTTTTAAATGCATATCTTATTCTTTTATTGTCTTTGTATAATTAAAAATTATTTAAAAATTATTTTGTTATCATTACACATAAAAATCCCTAAATTAAAATAATAAAAAGGAAATAATTAAAGATATATTAAAATAATGATTGAAGATTTAAATAAAATTTTAAAACAAGAAGAAATACAAAAAGATGTAATTATAAGCAATTATAATTTAAACAATCATTAAAATTTAATATTAATATTAACTTTTTATTTAATATTTACAGGTAGAGGATATTATTAAGAACAATTTAAATGACAAAATTAAAGGGTGGAAAGAATCGATGAATTACTTGTATAATTTTTCAGTAAAAACAGGATATATTCAAGAAGAAAGATTAAAATTAAATGTTATATTACCAAAACACTATCAACATTCATATGGTGGGGACGTAGGATTCGAAGTAACCATAAATTGTTCAAAGCCAGAAATTATTGTTGGTAAAGATATAGTGGGTGCCGCTCATTATTCAAATTTTTATGGGGAATGTGTAATTTGCTTTGATAATGTAGGCTCAGATAAAAGAGAAGGGTTGCGTGCATACGAATTTACCTTATCAAATGGTGTAACATTATTTAGACAGTATCCACCATACCCATATTTTAAACACCATAATATTATTATAGATCGTAAACACACACCACAGGTATTGTCAAGATCAACTATTTTAGAGTTATTGGAGATGTCAGAATCTATGCCAGGTTATAAAATTGCATCAAACACAGATCGTGTGGGCACAGGTGCTACAAATCTACACCATAGACACTATCAAGCTGGGGATCATCCATTCACTGTGTTTTCCGCTAAACCAATCAAACAATTTAAATGTAATTTTAGAAATCAAGAAACCAACTCCAATGAGGTAATTATTGTTGAATGGTTACACTATCCATGCTGTTGCTTAAAGGTCATTGGCAGCTCAAAGAAATCCGTAGAACAAGTTTCTTATCAATTATTTAGCACATGGAGAAATCATGACTTTCCAACCTTAAAACAAGAGCTTCAAACTTGCTCTTTAATTTCAACATTGGATGTAGAATCAAACCAATACCAATTTCTTATTTTCCCACGTAATGCCGAACAACCTAGATTCCTCACCAGTCAAACCTTACAATGTATCAAAAAAGAATTTGTTGGTATTTTTGAATTGTGTGGATATGCTATTCTACCAGGCAGATTAAAAGATCAATTACAACAATTGGAATCCTTATTAGCAAATGTCACACTCTCAAATCATAACGAAAAACTAATTTTACCCCAAGAACTAATGGAATTTAAACAATGGTTAATTGAATATTACTTTAGTATCACGGACAATAATTTATCAATATCTGATAAATTGCATCTATCACTACAAAATTCTTTTATTACTATTCTATCAGACAACTCTCCAATAAAATTAAACAATAGTAATTTAATAGATATTTGGATAAATAATTCAAATTTAAATTTAATAAATTAATAAAAGATGTAAATGTAAATGTAAATGTAAATGTAAATTAAATAATCTAGATTTATTAATAAATTTTTTTTTTTTTTTAATTTTTTTTTAATTTTTAAAAATTATAATTTATTAAATCAAAAAAATATTATTTTTTTTTAAAAAATATATTATCATTTAACACACATTATTTTTTATACACATAATGGATAAAGAGGTTCACAGCCAAGAGAAAGTGCAAAAATCAGTATGTATTTATTTTAATATATTGTATGATAATATGATATATAATATTAATATTTTAATTTAGATAGATAAAATTTTAAAATTAAATAGAGATGATAAAGCAAAGGGTTTAAAAGAATCACTAGATTATTTATATGAGGTCAGTCGCAATACTGGATATATTAGAGAAGATATATTAAGCGAGAACATATACATATCTGAAAATTATGAAAATGAATACGGTGTGCGATTCGATATTATGATTAATTGTTCAAGACCAGAAATACCACAAAAAAACAACCATAATAATGACAAAAATAATATATGCAACCTTTGCTTATCTAATTTGACTTTAAAGAAAGAGTTAAGAGTGTATGAATTTAAATTAAAAAATGGCAAAGAACTATTCAAGCAGTTTTCACCTTTTCCTTATCACAAATATCATAATGTAATAATAGATAAGCAGCATACTCCACAGGTATTATCAGAGGATACAATTAAAGAAATTCTAGAATTATGTGAATCAATGCCCGGTTATACTGTATTGTGCAATTCCGATAAAGAGTTTTCTGGTGTTTCAAATATCCATCATGCACACTATCAAGGAGGTTACCATGATTTCGCAATTTACAAAGCTCAATCAAAATTTGAAATACAATGTAACAATATTGAAATAAAAATACTTCACTACCCTGCAGGATGTATTAAAGTTGTTGGTCAAGATATACAAGAGTTAGAGATAGTTTTAATTAAACTCTATAATAGTTGGAGGAATGGTAAATATGAATCATTAAAAAATGAATATCAAAGCTTTTCTTTTTCATGCAAATATAATCAAAATCAAGGTTTGGAATCAAGAGGTTATTTCGAGTTTATAATGATCCCAAGAAATGGTGAACCACATAGATTCAACACTAGAAAATCACTTGAATGTATAAAAAAAGAAATGGTGGGAATAGGTGAAATTAGTGGAAATGGAAATTTACCAGGTAGATTAAAACGACAATTATTTGAAACTTATTTAGATATATTAACTCAATTACAAAATGATAATAAATTAATAAATATTATAGATAACGTTGAAAAAATAGATAATTATTTAACAAATGATTTAAAAGAATTTTCAACATGGTTTAACGAATATTTTATTAAAACACTAAAGAATTTTAATAATGATAAAACACCACCAATCAAACAAATATTAGAAATTTCTTTGTGCAACTCTTTAATAGATATAATAATGGATAACTCTCCAATTAAAAACGATACCGATTTAATATTCAATTGGATTAACCAATCTAAATTGTAAAATAAAAATAAAATTTTTAAATTAGTTTAAATTTTTAAAATTTTATTTTTTAAGTAAATAATTTCAAAATCTAAATATATAATACTTTATATTTTTTTTTTTTTTTTTTTTATTAAATTTATATTAAAAAATCATTATAAAAATCTATAATTATTGAATCAAAAAAAAATAAACAATTCCTTATTTGTTTTTATTATTTTTTTTTTAAAATTTTTTTTTTTTTAATTTTTTTTTTTTTTTATTTTTTATTTTTTAAAAAAATAATTTTATAGATTTAAATTTAAAAAATAAAAAAAATAAAAAATAAATAAATAGAAAAATATTTTTACTTATTTAGAAAAAAATAAAAAATCTTAAAATAATTTAAAAAAAAAATAATTTAATATCTCTTTAATTTGAAAATGAAAAAATATAAATAAAAAAAAATTTCTAGGTAGTTTTCAAGTTTTTAATAAACAAACAATAATACATAAATAAATAAATAAATAAATAAATAAATAAAAAATAAATAAATATATAAATAAATAAATAAATAAATAAATAAATAAAAAATGAAAAAAATTCAAGTTGCTTTTTTAATCTTTTTATTTTTCATTTTTTCGGCATATATCACCCCATTGGCATTTGCCCATAAAGATACATGCACAATATGTGTTAAATATGCACATTTATTAAAAGAAAAATCCCCAAGTAAAGATAACATAGACTCTCTTATCAAAACAACCTGTAAACTTTTCCCAAATAAGGTATGCTAATTAAATTATAATTATTTATTTTTTTATAAATTCAAATATTAAATCTTTTTTTTTTTTACTATAAAGGAAAAATGTGAAAAGTTTTTAGAATCTAATTCTGAAAAAATTATCAACAATATCGATAAAGATGAAATTTCTTTATGTGATTACATTGGGCTTTGTTGATCCAATTAATCCAAAATCAAATAAAAAAATAACATAATAAAAAACACTTTTATTTGAAAAAAAAAATTAATTATTATTTTCGTTTTTTAAAAAAAAAAAAATTTTAATTTTTTTTATTTTTTTTGATCAAAATCTTTTTTTTTTTTATAGTTTATTTAAACTTGCATTATATATATATTAATAAAAATGTTTGAAGAATATTTAAATCAAGAATATTTTGAATATTTAGCAGCACACATCGATTTCACAGAAACCTACTTTTTAGCAGCAGTTGCCTGTATTATTTTCAATCCATTATGGTGGAATATTACTGCTAGATTGGAATATAGAACCCAATTTATGACCAAAATGTGTGGTGGTCCATATAAAGGATGTTATTTATTAGCATTTTTAATTTTCGCTTTGGGTATATTAAGAGATTATTTGTAAGTTATAGATTCATTCTCAAGTATACTTATTACATATATTAATCTTTATTTTATTTATTTATTTATTTAGATTCTCAGAAGCATTAAACAGACAAGCAGTTTTTGCTGGATTTGACAACTTTGAATGCGAAGTTATTAGTTATATTTTATATGGTGTTGGTGGTATTTTAGTATTAGGTGCATACTTAAAATTAGGTATTACAGGTACTTATCTTGGTGATTATTTTGGTATTTTAATGAAGGAAAGAGTCACCGGTTTCCCATTCAACGTTATGAACAATCCAATGTATAATGGTTCATGTATGTTATTTTTAGCCCATGCCATCTCTGGCAAGAGTTTAGCAGGTGTTGCTTTAACTATTGTAGTATACATTGTTTATAAATTTGCTTTAGTCTTTGAAGAATCATTCACAAATTATATTTATTCCAATGCCGCTAAAAAATCTTCAAAAAAATCAAATTAAATTAAATAAAAAAAAATTTTAATATACGAAACCAAATTTGGTATTATTTTTATTTGTTTTTTTTATTATTTATTGGTTTTTTTATTTTTTTATTTTTTTTTTATAACTTTTTTATTTTGCTTAAAATATATATAAATATTATTATTTATTTTATTCACCTAATTGAGAGTTGGAAAGTTTTTCATCATCTTCTTGATCGTTATAAATATTTTCAGCCATTTGCCAAATTTGAAGAATATTGTCTTCAGCAACGGAAGCAATAGACCATGGATCGTGTGGGTTCCAAGAGAAATCTGAAATTTTAGAGGTATGACCACCATGTATAAACAAGAGTTCTGGTGGACCATCAGCAGCATCTTCATTGTTTTGTTCTTCACCAATTCTTGAAAGATCCCAAACATTTACTCTACGGTCAGAGCCACAACTTGCTAAAACAGTTTCGTTATGTGGTGAGAATTGTACTTGGAAAACTTCATCAGTGTGTGAGACAAGGGTATGTAAACGATTGTTGAGGTTTCTCATATCCCAGAGAGCTACAGTTTTATCTGTTGAACCAGTTGCAACTAAAAATTCACTGAATGGATTGAATGAAAGACAATTAACTTCAGATGCATGGGCTTCTACAGCGTGAATTGGTTTGGTGCCTGAACGTGTATCCCAAATCATTAATTTCTTGTCATCACCTACTGATCCAAAATAACTATCGTGGATATAATGCCATGCGACATCTTCAACAATTGAGGTATGTGCACTATAAATATTCAATGCTTCTAATGTTGAGTCACTCTTAGAGGCTGCTGCTATATCCCACATACAAATTGATTGATCATCTGAACAACTAAGTAAATGACCTTCCTTTGTTGGATTCCAACTAATACCATAACCTTCTTTTTTATGACCTGTTAATTTAAGATTTGGACAGCATTTACCATCAGGATTTGGCTCTAATGGATGTTTGGTTGTATCGAAAATATAAACCTCTGATGATACTGTTTTGGTTGCTATAATTGTATGGTTTTGTGGCATAACTCTTGCTCTATTTACTTCACCTTCATGATTAATTTTTTGAACAATTTCAATCTTTTCTGAAACATTACCAATTCCACCTAATTCTAAATATTATTATTATTATTATTACTATGTTAATAAACAATGAATCCATAAATATTTTTTTTTATAAAATTTAAATTTACTTACCACCTTTAGAATCATCATATTTTAATGATTCAATTGAAGCTTCATCAACTGGTAAATGAACTTTTGCTACCATAAGATAATTTTGTTCTTCATCTGATGTATGTGTACCTAAAATAACTTTTTCTATACAATATTGTTTATTTGGTGGGCTAATAATAAAAAAATATTAATAAATTATTAAAAATAATAAAGAAACTTTATATATCATACATACGTTGTTTTTGAAGGTAACCAAGCTACAGTAAGTGATGGCCACTCAAGTGCATGGGTAATTACCATATCATAAAGAAATGGGGTGTGTCTTTTCCAAATTTTATATTCCTCATTAATAACTTTTTCTTCTACATCTTCATTTGCTGACATTTTTTAATTTATATTTATTTATTTAATAACAATAGTGTTTTAAATATTTACACAAAAAAATTATACAATGAAATAAATATTTAAATATAACTCTATTTAATTAAAAAAAAAATTAGTAATTATAAAAAAAAAAAAAAAAATTTATGAAAATAAAAAAAAATAATTTTAAAAAAAAAAATTTAAAAAATTAAAAAAAAAAAAAAAGTTTTTTTTGAGCGGGTGGGTGAAAATCACTTATCACATTATTAATAAATAAAAAAAGAAATTAAAAAGACCATTATTAAATTATGTCTTTTTATTTGTGTTTTTTATAAAAAATTATAATTTTTTATTTTTGCCTCTGTTTTTTCTATAGATTTTACATATTCTTTGCCTTGTTCTGTGCCAATACATTCAGATTTATTTGAATCGTTTCTTAGATATATTAACACAAGTATAATTTTTTTTTAAAAGATGAATGAGTTTTAGCTATCATTTTCTTCTGTGTTATTGTTTTCTTCTTCTTTTTTTTCTTCTTCTTCCTCTTCTTCTGATTCTTCTGATTCTTTTGTTAAATCAGGAAAGTTTAGGTTTGATAAATTAATATTAAACAAATCTTGAATATTTTTATTACTTATAGCATCATCTTTTTCTTGGTAATAGAACATTACATCTCCAAAATTAAATTTAGGAATAGTACCACCTTCTGGAACTTTAAGTGACTTGTAAACATCTAAAATAGTTTGGGCTCTAATAACATCCAGCTCTAATTTTTGTATATAACTTTGCAGACATTCATTTGTACAGTCTTCTCTGAATTCAAAACTCCAATATTGGTCATAAACGTCGCGTCTGATAAATCTATGATTATGTTTTTTATTGTTCATTTTCCTAATTATGCTACAAAAAAAAATAAAATAAACTAAAACTAAAAATAAAAATAAAAATAAAAAATAAAAATAAAAATAAAAATAAAAATAAAAATAAAAATAAAAATAAAAATAAAAATAAAAATAAAAATAAAAATAAAAATAAAAATAAAAATAAAAATAAAAATAAAAATAAATACAAAAATTTAAATAATAAAAAATTAAAAATAAAATAAAAATAAAATAAACAATTTTGAAATTTTAATATGGGAAATTTAATTTGGTATGAACAAAATGGATATGAAACAATATCAACTTTTTTTTTTTTTTAGATTAATCATTTTAAAGTAATTACTTTATTACCATGAAAATTTAGAATATTGGAACAAATTGTCCTCGTACTCTGTCAAATTGGGACATTAATGTTTGTAGTTTAATAAATAAAAATAGATAAAAATTTAAAAAATTAAAAAAAAATTAAAAAAAAAAAAATTTTTTTTTATTTTTACACCAACTTTTAATTTTTTCCTAAAGCTTATTATTTTTTCAGGTGTTTGTTTTCCTCATAATTTGTTTATTAGCTGATCTACAAGAAACATATAATGATGGTTTATGTTTCAAATTGATGGTAAAAACTCAAAGAAATAAATGAACAAGTTTGTTGTAAAATAAATACAAAAATTTAAATTTTTTTTTTTTACACCAACTTTTCATTTTACACCAAATTTAATTTTTTTAATTTTTTTTTATTTTATTTTTTTTAATTTATAAAAAATTTTTTTTGTTTTGCTTAACCATTTATTTTACAACAAACTTTTCTATAATCATCTTTTGATTTCAGACAACTTAAAAAACAAATAAGACAGAATATTCATAAAAAATACAAAAAAAAAACAACGACGCTTTCTTTATAGTAAAGAAAAATGATTAAAATTTCGCGAAGGGAAAAGTCATCAAAAAGTTGCAGAAATATTGCAATTACCCACAGTTAAAAAAAATCAGAAAAAGGGACAATTGAAGCAAATCCAATACCTGGTAGAAGAAGAAAGACGGACAACCGAATTGAAAAACATTGTAGAAAATTAATTTTTAATGTAATAATTTAGGTTAAATAAAAAGATATCTTTGAAAAACTTTCAATTAAATCTTTCAATTAGTAGGTCTACAAAGTAATAATGTTTTTTTTAAAATTATAAACATTTTCTTACCGAAATATCATTAGGCAAAAGAGTACCAAATTGGAAAAGGTTCATTTTTGCTGATGAGACCGGAATTGAACGATTTTCTTATAAATTGGAAACTAAAAAATCGATTCAAGGTTCAAAAAAACTTCAACAAGGTTATAGAGGAACTTTACCAGAAAAAAAGAATTTTAACTGATGATGTTTCTTTTACAAGACATTTGCTCCATTCAAAAGACCCAATTATTGGCTGATTATAATGAAAAAATGAACATAGAGGATATATTTATTCCACCATTTGGCTTCTATCAGGTACCAACATCATAATTTCAATCTATTAATTGTTATGAATTTGGAAAAATATTAATCAAGAAATAATTGATAATCTTTATGAATCAATCCTAAAAAGAATACAACAAATAATACAAAATAAAGGTGGATTCACAAAATATTAAAAAACAAACCATTAAAAAAATAGTTTTTTTTTGAGTGGGTGGGTGAAAATCACTTATTATTAATAAAGAAATTAAAAAGACCATTCTTAAATATGTCTTTATATATTTTTATTTGTGTTTTTTATAATATATCACAATAATTTTGCTTCTGTTTTTGTTGCTCAATTAGGGCTAATTCTTGTTCTGATTTGATATTTGGATTATTAATTATGGATGTAATAATTTCATAAAAACAATGATTGATTCCAGAAATATCCAGTGATGATACTTCATAAAACAATGCCTCTAGATTTTGCATTTTATTTAACTTGTTCTGTACTTATACATTTATTTGAATCGTTTCTTAGATCTAATTTTGTCCAGTATTGGTCGATTTTGGTTTTCCTTGGATGAATATCGATTGTATTCATCATTCTAATTATTTGAAATGTTACTTATCTTTGGATGAATATCGATTGTATTCATCAATTATATAATCTTTTTATTTTTAAATTTAAAAATGGTATATATTGTTCTAAAATGAATCCGTATTTTGAAATTTTAGGGTCTTTTGACAATGTGAAGCCAAGCTTTATGTTTTTTAAATTTTTTGGTAGTGAATATACTATTTGATCTAGATGTTTGAATTCTTCGAGATATAAATATGTTACTGAATCTGGTATAATGTTCTTTAATGAGTGTTTGTATCCTCGGAATACACTAAAATGGGTAATACTGTTTGGTATTGATCCATGGTGTAATGGTTTTTTAATATCTCCTATATAGATAGAGGTTACCGAGTCAGGAATGACTCCAGGTGATAGTTTAAGATTAAATTCATAACAAAGCTGTATAGATGTCACTGTATTTGGAATGATTAGTAATGATCCTTCAATTTCACCTAAATATAAATATTCTATATCGCTTGGAATAGTTTCATATGTTGTATTAATTTTATCCCAATATTCTAAAATTTTTACATTTTTTTTTAATGATCGGATTTTTAACATTTCTTTAAAATCTTTCTTTTTTATCGGTGATTTATTAAAAATTGTTAAGCTTGGTGTTTTTGGAAAATCTAATTCAATTTTTCCATGTTTTCCTATTAGTTTTGGTCCTCCATTAAAACAATACCAATATTTTGATTTGAAAATAAGAAGATGTTTGATATATAAAGTGTTTCTAAAGTTGTTGTAGTTAATTGTTGTTTGATCTTTTGGTGAGTTTGAATCATAGGTATACATTTGAACAGTGTTGATGTTTTTATGAATAATCGATGGGTTTAATGGATGATTGTAATTATTGAATCTTAAAAAGGATAATTTTTTTGGTATTGATTCTTCTTTCAATGGTTTACCTATATTACCTATAATTAAAATGTCCATTGATGTATCTTTATTAGGTAGTAAAAGATCATTAAATCCTTGACTGAGATATAGAGCTTTTGGAAAATAATTACGAAAAAATTGATTATTTGAATAAAATAAATCAAGTTGCATGGTATTGAATAAAATAATCTTTGAGGGCCATAATGAGTTGCCACTAAATTGAATATTATATCTTTCTAATAAATGTTCTTTAGTCAAAGAATCATTACTAAGAATTAAATAATAATTGGGATATGAGTCTGTTGGTATTAAAAAGTATTCATCTTTAATTTTCTCAATAGTTTCTGGATGATTTAAAAGTCTATCTAAATTAAAGTTGATATCGTAGTTATTTTGCATTGTTGATATTAGATCTAATGATTTACATCCTTTGAAATTAATAGATTCTATTGATTGTACTTCTAAATATGCAGTTGTTAATTTTTTCATTAAAGACATATCTAAACATTTTAATTTGGTTGATTTAATTTTGATGGTTGAGAATTCAGTTTCTGATATGTTAAGGTACTCTAAATTGTTAAATGCATTATATGATTTATCGAGTTGACTTAAATCAAAAATGTCAAAGTTTGTTAATTTAGAACCTTTTACATTTAAATATTTAATAGATGGTGTTTTGATATTAATATTGTCTAGCTTTTTACATTCGGTGGCACTTAAAAAAACTAAATTTGGAGCTGAAATATAAACAGATGAAAGTTGTGGGCACCTATCAAGTTTTAGTTTGTTTAATAGGTTAAATTCTATTGTTGAAAAGTAAGCTTGGATTCCTAAATTAAATAAACCGGCACATCCAGATAAATCGAGTATGATAATTGAGTCTAAATTAAATTGATTGAGTGGATTAAATTTATTTAGTAAATTTGGAACAATTTGTTTGAATAGGTTAGAGTGGAGTAAATTAAATTTTATTTGACTGTTTCTAAAAATGAGAACTGATATTTCTTTTAATTTTAAATATTCAGAAAGTATAATAAATTGATGCTGTGTAATAGTACTGAAATCTGCTTCTAATAAACATTCGATGTCATAATTTGATATAATATATGATTCTTTTTGATATAGTTTTAGTATGAGATCTGATAAATGCTTTAGTTTTTTGTTTTGATTGTTTAATTCTCCTAAGGTTTTTAATGGACTATATTCTTCTTCCCATAGTTTTAAAATGATATCATTTGAATTTGGAATACCTTTTGATTGTAATATTTGTGCTGATGAGTGTGTTGTACATGTTAATTGTTGGATTGTTGGATTTTTATAGTTGAAATATTTATTATATCTTTCTTTTATTGATATATTTAAATTTAAATATGATTTGTATCTATTTGCAACCAATGGTTCTAAAGTACTTAATAAATCTAGGTGAGTAGTTGGTTCTTTTGAATTATCTTTTAAAAGTTGTTGTAAACGTTTAAGTTTTGAATATAAATGTATGATCATTCCATTGTTAAAAGATACTCCAATAATAGTTTCTTTATTTTGTTTTAATTCTTTTTTTTTTGATGAAAATAGTTTTAACATCTTGTTATGATAAGTTATTAAGTTTTCTAACCATGTTTTTAAAACATTGTAAATATCTAAATCTTTAAAACAATCGATAATATCTTGATGCACAACATGATTCATTTGATCAAATAAAAATAATACAGTGTCGGATTGTAACGATTTGGAAAATCTTGAGAATATTAATAATCCAGTAGCTTTTGATGGCATAAATGATTGGTCATTATCAATTGAAAACATTTTATAAATGGTCCTATTGTGTGAGTTGTTTTCGTTTGGTACAATTATATAGTTTCCCAAATTACCATCGGCATTATTGATAATTATTGATAATATTATTTGCTTTGAGATATTTGAGGATTCAATTTCATTAGTTATATTTGGGTTTTGATTTAGTATATCTACTAAAACCACCCCTGGTACTTTTTGTGATAATAATACTGGAATTGAATTAATTGATCCCAATTCACAAAATGTTGTTAAATTTTCACCAAATAGTTGTTCTGATAGTATTTGTACTGCATATTCAATACCTGGGAATTGTGGTTTGAATTTTAAATAGATACCATTACCATATTCATCTTCAATTAGTGTGACTGCTCTTTCACCTTTATCATTTGTTTTCTTTGGTGTACCATCTTGATCAAATAGTTTGTCACAATACTCTTCTGATATTACTCTTCTTAATGTTCCATCTGTTTCTAAATAATTTGGTGATTTATTATTATTGTTTGTTATTGTATTTTCTAAAGGGAATAGTTGATTTAATGAAATATACCATGTGATTTTTGGATTAATTAAAAATAAATTTGTTAAGAAAGGTTTTAACTCTAATTTTTGTTGATGTGTGAATGTTTGATAAAATACACTAATATCTATTCCATTTGAGTTTTTTCCAGCACCCATTTTAATTAAATTTATAAATACATTGAAATTGTAACTTGATGATGATAGATCTAATAGTGTACATCCATTTTCGATTCTTTCAATATCTAAATTAAAATAATTGATTAAAAATTCGACCAAGTGCCAGCTGTTTGGATTCTTTAGTATTTCGCTTTCAACGATAGTTGCAAAATAGTTTTCGTTATTAATTTTGATGTCCAATGATTTCACAACTAGTTCGATACAATTGATAGATGTACCATATTTTAATAATCTTTTAAATAAATGATCTTTATTTTGATACCAAGAATCATGGAATGGAACTTTATCATCTTTTCCATTATATGTTGAATATACGATTTCTAACCATTCTACAATAATATTTTTTGTTTTACAACCAGTGTTACAAAATGGACCACATTCATTTACACCATATGAAGATTTACATTCTATTAAGTCATTATAATCGGTTTGAGATACTAGTTCTTTAATTGCATCTGTAATGGATATTCTCTCTTGATTAATAGTTGCTAAGTTATGAATTGATTCTTGGATCTTTTCTTCGGATATATATGATGAGTATTTATTTAATTCTAATAATTTTTTAAATGGAATTTTTGAGATTTCATTTTCATTTTCATCTTTTATTGAACCAATGATATCTAATGGATTTGAATATATATTTGATAAAAGTGTGTAGTAAATACTTAAAAGTGGATGTATTAAATCAAATAGTTTTTGGTGTGTAGTGTTTGGATTTGAAATTAAATGTTGTCTTATTGTTTTAAATCTTTGAAACATTAAAGTTATCCAGCCTCTATTAAACATTAAAGGTAAATTTAATTCATTTCTAAAATTGTTTTGAAGTTGATGTTGGGAATGAGTTTCATAAGGATCCAGTAGTTTTGAAATTATTTCATCATAGTTTGATTGTTTGTTTTCAATTAGTTTTAACCATTTTAAAATAAAAAGTGATGGTGTGTGTTGAATAAATTGATTTTTGACATCTTCATCGATTCGCTGTATCATTAATTCTTTGAGTGTAAATAATATATTACCGACCTTAGTATAAGCATCTTTGTTGTTACTATTTGGTAATATTTCGATTTCATTTGATTCCAATGACTCATCATTATCAATACCAATAATATTATTTGTATTTTCTTCTAATATAAGATTATCTGGTTTGTAGTCTGTTTGAATAGATAATAAACTTGATATAATATGTGAACTGTAACTTTTCAAATTAATTTGATTATAGTTTGTATCTGCTCGATTTAAATAATTCTCAAGTGTTTCTCCTTTAACAATTAATGATGCTTGAATAAAAATTGTTTCGTTTTGTAAACCATTTTCTATAATTTTATAAGTGTGTGGAGCTTTTTCTAAAAGCTTTGGAATAGAATATTCGTCATAGTTTGTTTTTTCTTCTCCTAATTGTTTCCTAATATCCGGAGGTAATGAATCATTTGAAAAAGTTTCTAAATTATCTAAAACAAATAACTGAGTTGGAGAAACGAGAAGTAATGTTGGGAATAATAATTTATTGAATTGATATATTGCATATTCTTTTGCTGGTTTTAATAAATGAGATCCATTATCGATTTTGTAACAAACTTGATCCAATAAACTTACATAGCTAGTTCCTGATTTATTTTCCTTTTTATATTTAAGCTCTACTGGGTCATACGATACAATTTTATAGGCTCGGTCTAATGATTTAACTTGATAGTATTCCAAATCTTCACTGATAAATAACGGTGGAGATTTTAAAATTCTATGTGATGCAGGTTTTCCAGTTAATTTTATAGATTCATTGGCAATATTTGTTATATCTTCTATAAATGATTCATGTGATGTTTTGTATTGATTAAAAAGAGCTGATAAATCCTTAATTATTGAATCGTTATTATTTTTATTTTTATTATTACTATTATTATCACTATTATTTTTAATATCATCTTTTATTTTTTCAATTATTTCTAAATTTGTTTTAATTGAATTAAATAATTCATGGTTTTTATTGGGTGAATGTAAAAACTCAGATTGGATGTAAGGATTGGTTAATAGTTGCTGTGGGGGTTTAATATGTGTTATTATTTTTTCAATATTTTGACTAATATTATTATTATTATTATTATTTGATTTTAAAATTTTATTTAACTTTATTTTAATTTTATGATAATATGGATCATTTAAATTTTCTTTGACATGTTTGGAAAGATTTTCTTGATTTTCGTATATATTAGTTTGAATCTGATATGGGTCATTTAAATTTTCTTTGACATATTTGGAAAGAATTTCTTGATTTTCATCACATATATTAGTTTCCGTCTGATATAAAAAAAAAAAAAAATTATTATATTATAATATAAATATGGATTTGTTTTATATCTTACCTTTTTAATATGTGAAATAATATTACTCAAAAATATATTTACAAAAAAAAAAATTATAAAGATTAAATAGTAAATAATCATGTTTATAATTTAAGAAAAATAAAAGTTTTTAAAAAAAAAATTTAAAAAAAAACAAATTTTTTTTCTAATTTTTTTTTTTTTTGCGAATCTGTTAAACTTTTCATTTAAATCAAAATTATTAAGATTTATACAAAGAAATTTTGATAAAAATACAAAAGGGATAAAAGTAATTTCAAATCAATGATTTATTAAAATTTAAACTTTGTAACAAAATTTCCTTGTTTATAAACAGCTGTTTGAAAATTAATAACAATTTCTATATAAATAATAAATTTAATATAATAGAAATAAATAATAAATAACAATTTCTATATCTTATCTTTTTTAAAAGATAATAAGATTTTTCTGTAAATTCATTTCCTATTGTTTCTATTAAGCGCTATAAATCTTCAGGTGTCCTCTTAACTGCAAGAAAGTGGACATAATTTAAAGATATTGTAGAAATAAATTTTAAATGTACAATCTCATAGTTCAGGTCAAATTTAGTAGGTCTCTATAACAAATTAGAAATAATAAAACAAGGCTATTGAGTTTATGACAAAAAAAAGAATTTTAAATGATGATATGTTCCTTTCACAAGACAATTGCTCCATTCAAAATACCCAATTATTGACTGATTATAATGAAAAATAAACATAGAGTATATTTATTCCACCATTTCTTAATATTATCAAGAATTTATTAATTTGGTACCAACATCATAATTTCAATCTATTAATTGTTATGAATTTGGAAAAATATTAATCAAGAAATAATTGATAATCTTTATGAATCAATCCTAAAAAGAATACAACAAATAATACAAAATAAAGGTGGATTCACAAAATATAAAAAAAAAATTTCAAATAAAATATAAATTATTAATAAACCCATTTTATGATAATTAATAAAAAAAATATAATTAATTAATCAATAATTTAAAAATATGATTAACATGAATTTCATTCCTTACATTCAAAGAAAAAAATGGCCCAATAAAGAAATTTTTGGGTAATGTAAATTATTATTTTTATAATTATTTGGATCTACATAAATTTATTACTATTTTGATTACAATTGTTTAAATTCATATAAAAACTGGGTGGCTATAACCCCCATTTTTTATTATAATCACTTTAGATTCATTTTTCTTTTTGTGGTAATTTTCATATTTTTTTTTTATTTTTTTTAAATTTTAATATTTTAATTTTTAATTTTTAATTTTCATTTTCATTTTTTTTACAATATAAAAGAAACTTTTTTTTTCTTTTTTCTTAATTATTTAATCAATATACAAATAATTACATACTTGTTTTGTTATAGTATTCTATTCAATAATAAAATTTAATATCACCAATAATTTTCAACACATCAAATAAATCACATCAACCACTCTTTAATTCAATAAAATAATGGATTTTTCAGATTTGGTAATTTTCTTTTTTATTGCAGCCATTAGTTTTTTAATTGGTTTTATATATGATTGTTCAATCCGTTTAATAGAATTAAAACAACAACAACAAGCCAAAAAAGATTTAGAAAAAGATCAATTATTAAAGATATCAAATTTAAAACATCAAATTAAATTAGAAATAGAAAAAAAAATCCAACATAATAACCTATTAATTGAATCTAAAAAACAAGAATTAAAAGATCAAAAAAATAAAAATGAGCTAGAAAAATTAATTAAAGTTCATGATGACCAATCCTTTGAAATTAGACAATTATTTAGTTTAATAAATCAACAAAAACAATCATTCCAAGCCCATGATATTAAACAAGGTAAAATGGTTAAAGAAAGAGACTCTATCAAAATTGAATTTAGAAAATCAAATTAAAAATTCAAATCAATTACAAGAGCAAATATTGAAAAAAGATAAAATTATCGAATTACTTGAAAAAAAGATTGAAGCAGAACGTCAAGTATTAAACCAGCTTTCAATTGAACACATTGAAGCATTAGAGAAATTAAATTCTGAAGAAGGTCAATCAGAAACTTTAGATAAGGAAGAAAATATTGAAATTTCAGATATTGAAGAGAATAGCGAAATTTCAGATTTTAAAGAGAATGAAGACCATTGAAGTCTCATATTTAGGTTGTTATCATAATTTTTGCTTTGAAGAAAAGATTATTTTATCAAGATAGATCAGATCCAAACATTGATAACCTTATGGATATTGATTCATATTGAAATCAATGGAGATAAATTTAATAATTCACCATCTTCTTTCCATTCTCGCATTTTGAAATCGAGGAAGACTAGATTATTAACTATCGTTCCATTCAAATATTTCAATTTATGATTTCGATAAAGTTGAAAACAGTTATCAAGTGTATCATCAAAGAAAAAATCTAATCTCAATGAAATTATGCACAACAGAAAAAAGCTCAAAAAATATTCTAAATGTTCCAATATCTATTTTATTAAATTATTTAGGTAACAATAGAGATTATATCTACATAATTAATATCTTTGAATATTATAGAAACTAATATTTAATTTCGATACTTATTTCACTATTTTCAGTTTCAGAATGTTCTTGTTTCAAATCCATTTTTTCATTTAAAAGCTCGCAGTCAAATCACCACCACCACCACTTAGGGAGTTCAATTCCAGTTATTTCAGAAAAGGGTCTCATTCATGATTTTTATTTAAAAGCTCATAATTCATCACCACCACCACTACAATCCCTCAACAGAATCACCATATTAAAAACTATTATTAATATTTTTAGTTTCAAAAAATCATTATGATTAACTATAATAATTAAATTAAAAGTATAATTAATATTAATCATATAAAAATAGTCAAGTATCATTAATTTTTACAGAATAATTCAAATAGATAAAGAAGTTTAATAAATTAAAAGATTTTATAAATTTTTGTAACTTATTTTTTTATTTTATTTTTGTGTATTATATTTTATTTTATAAAATTTTATTGAATCTTTCTGTTGCTATTATTCTCTATTTTTAAAATAGTATATAATCTAGTTTTATAGTAACATAAAGTGATTGAACTTGAATACTACAAATGTAGTTTATTGTTATTAGTTTTTTTAAAATGATAATAAAGTGGTTGTATTTTTAGAATTGCTATATCATTTATTTTAGACCATGGTAAAATAAAAGAAAGGTAATATGGTAAACGATTTAAATATACTGGTATTTCCTTGTTTATTAATCTTTTTATAAGTTCATTTGAAAATGAATTACAATTTCTATAAATAAAAAAATAAATAAATAAAGATAATAATTATAATAGAAATAGATAGATCTAAAATTGTATAAAGAATTATCTTACTTTTTTAAAAAATGATATGATTTTCCTGTAAATTCATTTCCAATTGTTTCTATTAAGCGATCTAAATCTGCAGGTATCATGTTAATTTCACCCATATATATACTTTCTCTAAAAATAAAACCTTTTGCTTTTTTAGGCTCAACTAGAAAAACTCCACTAAAATCATAAGGATCTTTTAAATTAATTAAAATTTGAAATATAAATATATATTTATATTTTATTTAAATATACTTACGACAACCAAAACAATACTCAGCTATGTAATTTTCAGTATTTATTTGTACACCTGTATGATATATACCTAAACCCAAATGGTCACCTATTCTATTAACTAAAATATAAAATCAGCTTAATTATTCCCAATTAAAAAAAGTATAAATGGATTTGGTGATGTGTTTTTATATTTAATTTTTATTTTTTTATAATTTTTTTAATTTTTAAAAACATTTAATCTTTTTTTTTTATTTTTTTTTTTTTTTACTTTTTGGGTACAAATCATATATATTTAAATATATACTTGATGACATCTATTTTTATTTTATATTTATATATTATAATAAAAAAAAAATAATAAAAATTTTCAAAAAATAATAATTAGAAAATAAAAGTTTGAATTTTAATTAGAAAAAAAAAAATTAAAAAAAAATATTTTTTTTTAAAATTTAAAATTTTTTTTTTTTTAATTAACAGTTTATTTTTGAAAGATTACAAAAGATAAAATTGGAATTATAATCAAAAATATGAACAATATTTATAATATAGATAGTAAAATAGATAATATCAATTATAATAGAGAAAAATTATTTAAATTAGTAATAAATAATGTTTATATTAGATCAATCATTTTTAAACACTTAAAATTATATAATATTTTTTATAAACAAAGAATATTTGATACTGCAGAAGAATTATTACAATTCCCATTCAAAGATTACCTTTATAATGTTCACATTAATAAATATTATTATGATGATAGGTATATAGATGGAAAATTAGAACCCATTGATCAAGATTTAAAATCAAAGTTACCAAACAATATTAAAATCATAGAGGTATTTAATATATTTATTTCATCATTTAATATACCATCATGGGTTACAAATTGTGTAGTTAGAGATGATATATTCTTTCCAAATTTTAATATATCCAAAGATCTAAAGGTTTTAAAAATCGATTTAGATTCAGAGTATGCTCCAGAGTTAACAGCCAGTATTTTACCAGAAAATTTAAAAGAGCTTTTAATTGGTGGTTACAATTATCCAATAAAAAGAAATACATTGCCAAGCAGTTTAACAAAGCTACATATTCATAGACATGTTGGAATTGAAGAGTTTGCCTTACCAGAGAGTCTTACAGATCTCAAATCATCTATGCAGAAAACACCATTAACAATTAATCATAATATTCTACCAAGTCAACTTAAGTCATTTACATTAATAAATTTTGAAGAAATAGAAATCTCTGCAGATCTATCATTTTTAAAGTCTTTATCAAATTTTACACTTCATTGTAATAAAATTGCAAATATAATATTACCACCAAATTTGAAAGAAATATATATTCAAACCAATTCAATAAAAAAAACCATTGACTATCCTCCAACATTAGAAAAGATTTCACAAATAATACTTGATAAAACACAAGAACAAAATCAATTTAATAAAACAATACCAACCAATGTAAAAAACCTCTATATCAATGCAACACATTTAATAAATTCAAATAACAAATCAATATTACCCCCAAATTTACAATCTCTAGAGCTATTCGACCCATACTCCTTTACAGAGTACTCTCGAAATTTATTGGGTGCATTTAAAAAACTATTAAGAAACGAACCACCACAAATCATCCAAGAAAAAATATTTCCAGACTCTATAACCTATATAGACTTTGGTAACAAATTCGACAAACCTTTAGGTGTAAATGTTTTACCAGTAAACCTAAAGACCCTTTATCTGGGTGACCATTTCAACCATCCAATTCAAGTGGGCGTATTACCACCCCACCTAAAAAAAGCTGTATTTGGAAGGAAATTTAACCAAGAAATTATTGAAGAGTATATTCCACAAAGTTGCAAGCTATTAGAATTTAAAAACCATGAAAGATTCCCAATACAACTAAATAGACCCAACCTAATAATCGATTGCTTTAATTATTATAAACAATTTGAAAAAAACCCAGAATCATTACAAGTATTAAAAATGCCAACATATGCATCAGATCTCATTCCACTATTAAAGAGCTTTAAAAACCTCAAATACTTTTCATTGGGCGATTACAATCACAATAATTTCCAATTTGAATTTTTACCTCAAGAAAATATAATAGAAATTATTGATTTAGGTGACTCTGCAAAAGGAACACTGGATTTAGATTACTTTCCTCACCTAGAAAAATTAAATATTGGATACAGCAACCCAAAAATAATAAATGGTGATAAACATTCAAAATTAAATACCATCAAGGTTCCATTTGATAATATCAATTTTTTAAACAGTTCAAATTCAAATATATTTCATTTAATAAAACTAAAAGCTTCGCATAAATGACCTAATAAAAAAAATAAAAAAAAACCTTTTATAATATTTTTTGATTTAGATGAAATCTTGATAATAATAATTATTAAATAATAATAAAAAAATAATAAAATAAAAAAAAAAATATTAAAATATCTTTTTTTTTTCTTTAAAAATATCTTTTTTTTTTTTTTTTTATTTTCTTTTATTTTTTTATTTATAAAATAATTGCCACCTTAACTAATTCCTAAAAAAATTAATTAATTATTTTTATATTTTTTTCCCACTCCGTTCCAATATTTTTTTATAACAATGCATAAAATTTTTAAATTATTAAGTATTATAATTGTATTATTTGGTTTATTATCAAACTCAAATGCCAATCTCGAAATAGGAGGCAATGCTCAACAAGGAGACTTAAAAGAAGTCAATATGTGTGCAGGACTCAACCAAGTTAACTGTGTTTTCAACTTTTTCCTTCTCCATAAATGGTAAACATTAATTATTATATTATAGAGTATTATTTCAATATATTAATTACATCTTTTTAAAATTTATTTTAGCTATTGGAGCGACAACAAATGTCATAAACAATTATAAATCTATCGAAGATCTATCACTGTTAAAAGTTTTAAATAAAAGTTATTCATTATAAATTTTATTTTATTAAAAAAAATATTTAATATTTTATATTTAATTTTTTATTACCACTATTGTTTTTTAAAAAATAAAAAAAGATAATATTTATTTAATAAATTAAATTGAAATTCTATGTTTATTAAAAAAAAATTTATAAAAAGATAAAATTAAAATTAATGTAAAAGTTAAAACCGTTATAATGATACCCTTGTAGTTGTATGGATAAATGTTTTTAAATAATTGTGATTCTGCAATAATGAAAATGAAAATTTGATATAAGTTGATAAAATTAATAATTTTAAACTCCTCTTGTGCTGATGATTGAGTTTTTACTGGATTTATTAAAAAGAAACCTATAGAATAAACGATTTGGATCCATAAAACTATATTCATATAATACTTAGTCTTGAATAGCATTAATAGTGATAATAATATTAAAATTAAAGATTTTAAAAATGTTATTAAATCCCACCATAAGTATTGATTTTTATGATTTGATATTATTATGTAAATATTTAATTTTAATTTTAACCATATGTTTTTGACCTTGCTACTACTATTTATTCTCTTTTCTTTTTTGGTTCTTTCTTTATTATTTATAAATTTTAATTGAATAAGTTTTATTGAGAAAACTATTATTACAATAAAAACAAATAATAACATAACTACAGAGGTAAACAGAGCTAATTTAAAGGCCTTGGATGTACTATTAAAGTCTACTTTGATTGAAAGGTCTAATGCCAATTTATAGTCGCTGGATATTTTTTTGTAAATAAAAACTGATATCGAATTGAATAGGATAGGAATTGTAAATATTTGAAATAAAGTCCATTTTGATTTAATTTGATCGGCACCTTTACTTTTCTTGGCTATTATTTTAAAATAATGTTTTATTTTTTTATATGATCTAGCTTTTGTTGATGGATGCGAGGAGGTGGGAGAAGAGGGACGTGAAGAGTATATTTTATAATAAAGTTTTATAAAGTAAACTGATGAACTACTTGCACTAACTATAAATAGAATAATTATTATTGTATTTGAAATTAATAATTTAATTATATAGTTGAGATTCTTAAAATAGCAATATCCATCCAAATAATCAATAGACAATCTAAACAATGGTAAAAAATAAATTCCACCAAATGAATAGAATACAACTGAGTTGGTTTGAATGAAAACTATAACTGATTTTATAATGGAGCTAGATGAATATTTTAATAGTGACAAGAACAACGCAAAAAAGATAAAGATGAATACTAGTGGGAGCAAAAGTATTGGCAAAAAAGTGGAGCAGCATTGGATACCATTTCTTGCAATAGAATTATCCGAACAGTAATAGCACATGTCACCAGTATAAAGACCATTTGGTTGACAAGTATTATTTTTAAAGCACATATCCAAAGCACAAGAATAAACTTTATTTTCTGGAGATTTTACTAAATAATAGTTATCTAAAGTATAAACATTTGGCCCAATACACACTATTTCATTTGGATTACAATCTTGACATTGGTTATCTGCATCTGTGAATGATTGTATAACAACTGAACCAAATGGACAATAGCTACAGTTTAAATCACTACCTGTGTATGCTGTGTTCATTTGATACTCTAAACAACCTGTAGACTTTACATAAACTGTATTCAAACGTGGGAAATCTTTTAAAGAAACTTGATAGGTGATTTGATAGCCTCTGAATATATAGAAAAAAGAAACTTCTCCATTGATAATCGTACAAGGTACTGTATCAATAGTTTCATCTGGTTTAAGAATTATTACCGTGTATATACCATTTATCAAAACTGCCACATTATTGGATTTATCCCAAAGTGAAAACTGAACATTTGATAAACTGACGCTATTAAAACTAAAACTATTGGGTGATATAATTGAAACACCTACATAGAGATTAAAAAATAAAAATTTATTAATAAATTTTTATTTTTTAAAAATAAAAAATATATTTTATAAAATATTCAAAATAAAAAAACTTACCACTACCAACATCGCTTTGATAACTATATAAACATGTGTTATTTATAAATATATTTTTTTTTAAAATTGGCTCACCTAATGGAAAATCCTCTAAATAAAATGCACCCCCATTTTTAGTTGCATAGTTTCCGATAAATGAATTATTTAAAATGTTACTTAAGATATAATTTGAAAAAGTAAAAGAGAAAACGCCACCATAGTTTGCAAAGTTATCCGAAAAAGTTGACATCATAATATTAAGATATTTAGTTTCATTAATGCGCATTACCCCACCGTTGCTACTTGGAAAATAATTGTTTGACCAATTACAAACACTAATATCAATACTATTAACATTATTTAATGATATTAAACTATTTGAATCTTGAATCTGATTTGAAAAAGAATTGTTTTTGATGATTAAATTGAAAAAACTGGTGGACCCTTGTCCCAACATTGAATCATAGTCACAACGGGTAAATAAAGTATCCATTATCGAATCATCCATGTTATTTTGAAATACATTATCATTGAACAAACTATTTTCAAAAGTAAAATTTGAGTTTTTTAAATAAAATAAACCTGTTGATGAAAATTTGTTATTAATAACATTGATACCCAAAAAATAAAGTGATAAATTATCTCCTGCCAAAAATGCATTTGTGGAGTTTGTATTGGAGGAGGAAAAAATTCCTTTTTTGGCAATTAAATTCGAATTAACAATATTATTTGTAAATGTAAAATTTGCTAAATGCACCTGAACTCCTAGGGGACCACTAATATAGATTAATTTGGGGAGTAAAATACAATCCATTATTTCTATTTGTTCAATCCAAACACTTCTCTGTGCAATTATATAAAATAAAGAAGTGAAATCGGCACTGGATTTTGAAAGTGTGAATTTGGAAATTGAAAATTCATTACCAATAAAATCAATAAAAGCACCACTGTTATCTTGAAACTGATTTACATTTATTATTCTAAAAATAAGCACTTGTCTGGCTCTAAAGAATGGTGTAAAAATATTACCAACAAACTCTATATTTTCGATGTGTGCATACATTATAATACTTAAGGAAAATAAATGGTATTGCTCATCTGAGCCATGGTTATTTATAAATTTAGAGTTTTGTAGTGATAAATGCCCATAGTGTAAATTAAAAACTACTGTTTCTAACTCAGAAAACTTTCTAATGCCAAAGATACAACCAATCATTTCAAACTGATTAATTGTGATGTATGATGAATATGAATACAAAAAATAATTACCAATTAAAAAATCTTTGAAGGATGCTTGAGTGAGGTAAACTTCTGAGTTTGAAATAGTTAAAAACGGAGCTTGGGAACTGTTAAACGTTTGGAAATCACTATTGGAAATGGTGAATATACAATCTTGAATATCTAAAAATGGGTAAAAGTTTGAATTTATATCATTGAATTTTGAATTTTGAATAGAGATCTCTCCGGAACTAAGATAATCATTACCTTTTTTAGATTTAATAAAAGATGTTGATGAACCTTCGAATATACATTGATCAAAAGAGATATTATAATTGGAAAATGCTGAAAATAGGTAATTTGAAGTATCATAATTGTTGGTTACAAACTTGCACCCAATAAGCTCTATAGTTGAGTCTATAATTGACATGAAATCACTATTTGCAAAGGCAGTGGTAATAGAGACTTGCTTGTATTGAATTTTCGAATCTTTAAAAAAACTTGATCCCATACAATTAAATGTTGAATTATTTACGGTGATTTCATTATAAGGTATTGTGGGTGGTGGATTATAGGTAGTGTTGGATATTTTTAAAAATCTATTTAAACTACACTTTGTGTTAATTATTGGATTGGGTGTATTTATATTTGAAATTGTGATATAATTATATTTATTATTACTTATTATATTTAAAAAATTAAAATTATTATTTTGTATTAAATAAACTGTATCGATTATTAATTCTGATTTATTGTAATAGTTTACAAAGTTGAAAAATGTGGAAAGTTCACAATATCTGAATGTAAGACTGGTAAAACTATTTATATTTTTATCACTATTTGTTTCTATTGATACTATAGGTTGACTATTTTTAAAACCAGAGATTATTATATTATTAAATAAAATGGATGAATCTTGTGAATTTAATAGCTGAATCGCTGAATTATCTAGAGCCATTATTGTTGCATTATTAATTACCAATGTGCTTTGATAGTTATATATTATTGATGGATATTCTGAATTAAGTTGTCTATAATCATTTTTTGATTTTATTTCTAAATTATTAAGATATACAGTAGATTGGCTTGAATTGAGTTGTTGATCATTATTAAAATTTAAATTTATATTATCTATTGTAACTATGGAATCTTCAATTGTGAAATAAATATAATTTATATAAACTTTATTAAAACCATTATTGTTATTACTATTATATGGTTTTATTGTAATATTTTTATTTGATATTTTAAAAAAACATTGCGATGCTGTGTAATCTCCATATGCAATGTGAATAGTGGTAGGACTGATTAAATCAAAAACAAAACATAAATCTTGATATGGATTTTCAATTGTACCATTCCCATTTTTATTTTGTGAATCTATATAAATATTATTATAACCATTATTATCTTTTGAATTTATAACTTCTATTAAATATATACATATTAAAACAATTAATAAAACCCTATTAATTATCATATTAAATAATTAAATATAATTAATATAAAAAAAAACATAATGACAATGTTTAAAAAAAAAATTTATATTAAATAAAAAAAACTCGAAAAAATAGAATTTTTTTAAAAAAAAAAATCAAAAAAAATATTTCTTAACTAAACACTTTAGATTTTTAAAAAATCAATAAATACAAATCTAATATTTATATTAAATTATTAAGGAAAAAAAAACTAACCAAAATTAATGCAAAGTTAGAAAAATCAACATTTATAACCACTTTGTTTAAAAACATATTAATAATAATTATTGGTCAAATAAATAATAAAAAATAGATTTATTATTTGTATTTTTTATATTTATTAATAAACCTTTTATTTTTTTTATTTTTTTTATTTATTAATTCTTATAAAATATTACACCCAGAGGATTTGGGATACCCCACCAACACTAAATCATCATATGAATTTGATTTCCCATTCCTATCTTCTGTAATTTCATTTTTTGTAAAGTTTATATAACAACTATTACTTATTTTATTTTCATTTTTTATTGTATTTAATAAATTGTAATTTAAATTTTCTAAATTTTCTATAAAAAAAATAAAAAATAAATAAAAACCCTATAGTCCCAAAAAAATTAAATTTGTTAATCTTAAACCTACTTTTAATTGTCATTTGTAAATATATGTTAAAAATAAATAATATAATAAAAAAAACCTTGAAAACAAAGCAAAAAAAAAAAAAAAAAAAGAAATAAATTTAAAAAAGTAAGATTATTAGTAATAATTATTAAACTTTAGCGTAAAATAAAAAATGAAATAAATAAAATTATATTGGTAAAAGATTAAATTTTAATAAAAATTAAAAATTGAAGTAAATAAAATTGCCACACACACAAGATAAAGTATATTTTAAAAAATGTAATTTTATATTATTACTTTGTGTTTATTTTTTTGAAAAGTTTTTAATATATTTATATATTAATTAAAAATATAAAATATATTTAAAAATTGAGGATATTCTGTTTACATTTTGATGTTGGTATAATACTGTAGTTTGTTTGGTGGTTATAGTACTTTTTGAAATTTGTTGTAGAGTGTGGGGTGTTATTGAGTGTTATTGGTTATTTAACATTTTTCTAAAGCTTGTGAAACATCTTTAATTAAATCATTAATATCTTCAATACCAACAGATAAACGAATTAAAGTATCAGTGATACCTAATTTGGCTCTTTCTTCTTCTGGAACTGAAGCGTGGGTCATAACTGATGGTAATTCGATTAAAGATTCAACACCACCTAATGATTCGGCTAAAGCAAAGATTTTAATATTTTCTAAGAAAGCTCTTGATTGATCAATACCGCCTTTAACAAAGAAAACAACCATACCACCATAACCTTTCATTTGACGTTTGCATAATTCATGTTGTGGATGTGATGGTAAACCTGGATAGATAACTCTTTCAACTTTTGGATGTTTTTCGAGGAATTCACAGAGAGCAAAAGCATTCTTTTGATGTTGTTCCATACGAATGTGAAGAGTCTTGAGACCACGAAGAGCAAGGAAACAATCAAAAGCTGATGGAACACCACCACAACTGTTTTGAAGGAATTTTAATTTGTCGTAAAGTTCGTCGTTGTTGGTAGCTAAAACACCCATAACACAATCACTGTGACCATTGATATATTTGGTAACAGAGTGCATAACGATATCAGCACCTAAATCTAATGGGTTTTGGAAGTATGGGGACATGAAGGTGTTATCGACAACTAAAACGGCACCACGGCTGTGAACATAATCAGCAACAGCTTTGATATCAGCGACCTTTAAGAGTGGATTGGTTGGAGTTTCAACCCAAACTAATTTGGTTTTATCGGTGAAAGCTTCTTTTAATTGATCTAAGGTAGCTAAATCGACAAATTTGAATTTTAAGTCAAAGTTTGAAGCAACACGGGTGAAATATCTACGTGTACCACCATAAACATCATCGATTGAAATGACTTCATCACCGGCTTTTAACATATGGGTAATGGTAGTTAAAGTAGCTAAACCACTAGCAAATGCTAAACCATATTTAGCGTTTTCACAAGCAGCAATACATTCTTCAAATGCTTTTCTAGTTGGATTACCTGATCTTGAATAATCGTATTCCTATAAATAAATTAAATATTAATATTAATATTAATATTAATGTATTTGCTGCTGTTATTTTTTCACTCTAGAGTGCATATTTAATTTTAAAAAAAATTCATGATATTTATTGTGAACTTACTGAAGCTAAAACACCTGGGGATGGTTGTAAGAAAGTGGTGGATAATGAAATTGGGACAATAACAGCACCAGTATTTTTATCGGCGGCTTGACCAGCGTGGATAACGTTGGTTCCAATCTTATATTTGCCAATTTCAGTAGTATTTTTAGTCATTTTATTCTGTAATGTTATTAAAATAGTGAAATGAAAATTAAATTTTTTAAAAACAAAAAAAAAAAAAAATTTTATAAAAAAAATTAAAAAAAAATTAAAAAAATTAAAAAAAATTAAAAAATAAAAAATAAAAATAAAATAAAAATTAAAGTGGGATAAAAAAAATCCCAGCGAAAACTTATTCTACAATTTAAAAATTATTCTAAAATACAAAAAAAGAATTAAAGAACTAAATTTCTACAAGATTAAGATTATTATATTAAATATTTTGGGAATAAACTAATAATTATTTTTTATTAATGACACATAAATAAAATACACCTTTTTTAATTTTTTATTTTTTTTTTTTTTGTTTTTTTTTTTAATTTTATATTATGATAATGAGTGCTCATTATAATAAAAAAAAATTAATCAATTATTTCTTGTTTTTTTTAAGATATTATCTTTTAGTATATAAAACTAATTATTTTTATTTTTTTTTTATTTAATATAAATTAATTACATTTTTTTTTATTTTTTTTTCATTAAATTAATGTCCCATTAAATTTTCTCTATTTGCACATTTTGAATGATATAATGATCTTTTTTCTTTAAATTGTTTTTTAAATTCTTTTAGTTCTAAAGTTGAGTCATTAAGAAAAGAGTGTACTATTTCATCAGATTCTAATTCCAATTCACCAATAGAGTCATTGAGTTTATCCAAAAGAGTATTTTGAGAGTATCTGTCAGAGATTTCCTTTTTTTTGTTTTGTAAAAATAAGTTTTGTTTGTTTAATTCTTCAAAAAATATTTTTTTAGTTTCGATTTCGTCTTTTAATTGTTTGATTTCGTTTGGTAAAGGGTCGCTGATTTTGGTTAGTCTTTCATTCTCTGAAAGTAATTTGGATTTTTGATCAGACAGTTCGCTGACATCATCAAAAGAATATGTAAATGCATTCATTGAATCCTCATTGTTGATGAGTTCTTCTAATTCTTGGATTGATTTGCTCTTTAATTCTAAAAATTCGATTGGTATTGATGGTATTTTAATACTGTTGTTTGGTTGTACCGAGTTAGTGGTTGAGACGCTATTGCTTCTCTGTGGTGTGTTTGGTGTTGGTGGTGATATTACTCCTGATGATGGTTGATCTTTATATGGTGGTGGTGGTGAATATTGTGATGATGGTGATGATACACTATTACTTCTTTGTGGTTGTGTTTGTAGTGTTGGTGGTGGTTGTTGTTGTTGTATATTTTGTTGCAAAATTTGTTGTCTTCTAACTTGCTCTATTAAATTTTCTAAACCTTTACTATCTTTAACATAAGGTTCCATAATTTGTATTGTAACTGACGCTAAACTATTCATTGGGGTCCATTTAAAACTGGATGGTAATGAAATTGGTTGATGTGTTTGAAGAATTTCTAAAAAATATGCTGGTGGTGAATTTGGGAAATCTACAGGTAATGATCTAAATAAATTTTAGTTAATATTAATATTAATTATAGTGTTTTTTTCTAACATATAAATAATTGTAATTTTACATTAATAAATGAATTCCTAAAAATGGTATTTTAAATGTAGAATCTTTATCAACTTCTATTGTATGACTAAATCTTTCTTTTAATACATTAATTTGTTTCTTTTTACTATTTATTAAATAAGTGGGTTAGTATACATTAAATAAAAGAATAAGAATAATATTTATAAATGATATTTACAGAGAAAGTGAATTTAAATCTGTTTTTGACATGTTTTGTTTTTGTAAATATTATATTATTCCTATTAAATAATAATATAACTAAATAAATAAATATAATACAAGAGTTTTTAATATGTTAAATTAACAGTATATACAAATAAAAAAATATATAAATATAAAGAGTTTAAAATTTTAAAGAAAAAAAAAAAAATTATTTTTTTAAAAAATTTAAAAAAAATAAATTTAAAAAATAAAAAAAAATTTTAATTTTAAAAAAAGAGATTATGTGAATTTTTAAGATAAAAAAATAATATGAAGTAATATTTTTTTATCTCTTTAAAACAAATAATCATCCATTTTAAAACAAAATCCTTTATAATAAAATATTTTTCTTATATAGTTTTTTTTTTTTTCTTTAAAATAATTATTTTCCAAGCACTTAAAATTTTTTTTTATAAAAAATTTTAAAAAAAAAAAAAAAGAAATGAAATTATAAATTTTTTTTTATTTTAATTATTTATTTAATATTTATATATTTATTACAATGAAAAAAACAAGCAGCAAAAAATTTGTTTCTCCAGTTAAATCTAATAATAATAACAATAATAATAAAAGTAATAATAATAATAGTGATGAAAGTGGTATAAAAAATACACCAGTTAAAAAATCAAGTTCAACTTTTCAAACACCAACTAAAATAATAGCACCTTCAACTACAACATCAACATTATCAAAAAATATACCAGTTTCAAATACTCCAGCATCAATACCACAGGGATTAAATGTAACAAATGTAAAGTCTATAAATTGTGAACTATTTTCAACAATTCCAAAATACATTATAGATTTTTTAAAAGATATTAAAGACGAAATAGAAAGAGAAAAATATCAATTAGTTATAGATTATTGTTATTTAAATTGGTCAAACAATCCCTTTAATCAATATGATATATTTAGTATGTACAAAGATGCTAGAGATATAACTTTAGAAAAGGTAATACTTTGATAATTATATAAATACAAAAAACAAACCTAAATATTTACATTATATATTTATATTAATTTTAAATTTTATATTAGATAAAAGAAATTATTTTAAGTTTAATAAATGGAAATATGTTAAAGGAAATTAATATTAATGGTAGTTCTATTTATTCATCAATACCATGGTTTAAATTAATTCAATATGTTGGGTTAGAAATTGAAATTAAAAGATTTGAAGAAAAGCAATTGGAAAAAGAAAAGCAACAACAGCAGAAAAATAAAGATAATGGCGAAAAAGAAAAAAAAGAATCAAAATATAATAAATTAGCACCAAAGAATACAGTTGCATCAATTGTAGCAACATTGTCACCAACCAAACCAAAAGTTAATCACTTGGGATCATCAACAAAAAAAAGGAAATCAACAGCTACACCCACCGACTCTTCATCAATACCATTTAATTTAAATCAAGATATATGTAACGAGGACGATAATGAAGATTCAAATAAAAAATTAAAAACTACAACAGGTAAATCAAATAGCATTAAAAGTTCAAAATATGAATTAACAATAGATAGAGAGTTGGTATTAATATCAGATGAAAAAAAAAGATTATTAAAATCAATACAGGAAAAGAAAGAATTATTAGAGAAATTCAAATCGAAATCTGCATCACCAATCTCTGAACAAAAGAAAACTGTCCCAAATTTAGAAGAAGAAAAAAGAGTTGAAGGTTTAATTTATAAATGGAAAAAGGCATGCCAAGATTCAATTGTTTTGCTTCAAGAAAAAGTTGTAGAGTTTGTGGGAAAGCAAGAACCAAGTGCAAATGTAAATAATAGTTTCAATGAAAGACCATTGCAAGGCTTCAAAAGTTCGTATAGCTGGGGAGAGGGAGACACAGACCATCGCGATAAATATAATCAAGAAGAATTTCAATTTGATTACTTTGAAAAAGAGATTGTTGATAAACAACAAAAACAAACCGATATGTCTTCAAAACTGTATATTATTAACCAGTTTGGTCTTAAACCTCAAGATCTAAATTATGATGAAGATTCCGATCAATTTGGTAAATTAGACGATCCGCATAAAAAGAAAAAATAAATTAAATAGACAAATTGTAACAATGTACATATTTTAAATTTTTATTTTTATATTTACAAAATTTATTTATTTATTTTTACTTAGTTTTTTGTTTTCTTTTTTTTCTGAATAATATACAAAAGAAAAAAAAAGTTGTTGTTGTTGTTATTATTTGAGTGGTTGATGTTTTTGGTTTATATTATATTTTTATTAATCATTATTTGTCATTTAAGCAGGAGGGGCTGTAGATCCGCTACCACTGCCACTGTTATGTGGCCATGGTATTTCGTCTAAAAGATTTTTATGAATTGCCGTTATTACTACTGAAATTACACCACCTAAAATTAAACAGACTACAATTGATGCAATAATAAATGATTTTACAAATTTGTCATCTCTTCCTTTATCCAATTCACCATATCTAGATAAATAGTATTATAAAAAATAAGAATTAGTTTTATTTAAAGAAATGAGGTTATATCTTTATTAAATTTAAACAAAAAAATTTTATGAAAAAAAACTATGTGATATTTTGTTTGTTTTTGTTTTTTTTATTTATTTTTAATTTATTTATTTTTTAATTTATTGTAATTACCTTAAATCGTATTTATTTAAAAGGTTTGATACACCATTACCCATGTTTTTTTAGTATATATATTTTGTAACAATAAAAAAAAAAAGTTATAATATAAAAAATTAAAGTATGAATAATAAAATAAAAAAAAAAAAATTAATTTAAAAAATAAAAAAATAAAATTAAAAATAAAAAAAAAATTAAAAAAAAAAAAAAAAAAAATAAATATTTTTTGGCAGTTTCAAATAATAATTTTGATTACTTTTGATTTCATATAAATGTTTTTTTTTTTGAAAAAATAAAAAAAAGAAATCAAAAGAGATATGTTGTGATAAAATAAAAAAAAAAAAAAAAAACTATTTATTCTTTTTTTTATAAATTATTTAAAAAATTATTTCCATTTACAATATTTGTTGTTGAAAAAATAAAATCGAAATTTCCTCTTCCATATTTTTTCTTTAAGGTTCTAAGGGAACTGATTTCGGCATATGATACCCCACCTAAAAATAAAATCATTGTAAAGCTATTGTGATTGTAGTTGGAAGAGGAGCTGGTGGAAGAGTTTGAGGATGATAGGTTATCGTTGTTAAATTCTTTAACAAAAAATGGTTGGTTGATCGATTGCAGTTTTGATTCTAATTGTGAGAAATTTAAATTGTTTTTGCTGTTGGTGGTATTTAAATTTTTTTGAATTTCTTCGACTACTTTGGTGATTAATGGTATATAACCTGAATAAATATCATATTCATCACTGTTGTTGCTGTTGTTGCTGGTGCCATCGTCTTTTAATAATTTAAAATTTTTTAAAATTTGATTTGAAAGTTTTAATTTTAAATTATCTTTAATACCTATTAATCCTGCTTTTTCCATACGCATAATTGTTGTGGTTGATTCTATACCATATACATGAATGATATCTTTGATTAAATTGGCATAGGTCTTTTGATTGATACCCATTGTTAAACAATAGATTGATAACAGACGTAATATTTGCAACATTGGTTTCTTTCTAATGATTAAATTTTCTATAGTATCTAAAACTTGTTGTTGTTGTTGGGAGTTGAAGCCTAGGAGAGTGTATTGCAATATTTGAGATTCAATATCGATTTTATTTGAAAAGTCATCGCTATTTACCAGTCTCATTAATTCTTCGGTTATATTTGTATGTGTCTCTAATGATCGTTGTCTTTTTGAAAGATCAGGGATTCTCGACAAAAGTCTTTTGATATCTGGTAAGGATGCTGTTGCAGAGTTTTCTTTTTTTAAATCTTGGTAATCTTTTGAAAAGTTTAAAGAGCTGCTATGTAATAAGGTAGGTATGGAGGCGAATGATATATCTTTAATCTGTTGAAAGAATGGATCATTTTGTAAATTAAATTTAACTTTTGTCTTTTTGGTTGTGATTCTTCTCTCTTGTTGTCTAGTCTGTTCATTTATAACGATTTCTTCGACTTCCTCTTCTTTATCATATTGTACATTAAGGCTATTTGATATAGTTAAAACTTCGTCTATAATACCTTGATAGGTTTGTTGGGTACATAGCAATGGAACTAAATCGATGGTTCTATCAAGAATGATCAATGTCTTTAATTTTGATATTTCACCAGTTGGTGGTAGTGGTATTAATGATTGATAGTTTGATAAATTTTCAAATAGTTGCTTGGATTTATTTCCTTTACCAACTATAGTCCTAAATGGTCCATATAATTGCTGAAACTTTATTAAACTCTTTGAAATATTCATTAACTGATAATTATCATTCTCTACAAAACATTTTGAATAAAAATCTGTCATTTCCAATGAAAAAAAGTCATTTTCATATGGTATAAAACCTAAATCATATGATTCAATTTTTAAAACTAAAAATAATAAAGTTAATATAAATTTTAAAATAGGTAAATAGGAATATGGTATATATTAAAGTAATGGCTTACAATCTAATAAACCTTCAGATTCTAATAAATAATTTGATGAGGCATCTAAATTTGGGACTGAAACTAAAAAATATTTTTGTGATTGTTGTTGCTGTGGTAACTTTTGTCTTTGTTTAATAAATTGTGCCATTTTCTGTACAATCTCTAATCTTGTTTTGCAAAAGAATATTAGTGATGTTGCTGGTGATAGAGATGGATTAATTTGTTGTGGTTGTTGTGGATGTTGTGATACAAGTAAATCATCAAAGTAAATAACTTTGTGAACTCCTTTTTCATTTAATTGGCCAAGTGAAAACAATAAGCTGAATGGACCACTTAGCTGTTTATCTATTACTAAAACTGTATGATCATTTGTTGATGTTGAAATTTTAAATGAATCTATTACTGAAAAGAATTGAAGTGTTTTTAATTTAATCCAACTAGTACAATCAAATGTACCAGTATCAAAATCATCTATTATTAACTCTGAATTCACTGAATTTCTTAATGGTGGTGATGAATTACTTGATGATTTCATCTTTTTTTTTTATTTCTTATTTTTGAGAATGAAATTAAATTTAAAAAAACAGAATGTAAAATTTTTAAAAAAAAAAACAAAAAAAAAAATTAAAAAAAAAAAAAATTAAAAAATAAATGAATAATTAAGATATAGAACGAATAATATTCATTAATTTTAATTTTAATATATTTAATTTAAATTAATATTTTTATTTAATTTGTTTTTTTATTATCTTCTACAGTATCATTTGATTGTTGTCCTAATGATTGTTCTCTTAATTGTTTTTCATTCATTTTATTGACATAATCTAATTTCAATAAAACTGATAATGCATCGATAATTAATAAAACTTGAGAAATTGTAAATACTAAATTGATAGTATAGTAGAAATTGGCATTACCAGTACCTTGAATGATCCACATTTGCCAAAGGATTGGGGCTAAAACGGTTACAAAAATTGCAACTACAATAACTATGAAACTATATTTTACACCTATATAAAAATTAAAATTTGATATTAGCAAGCCAAGAATTTATGTTGATATAATTTTAATAATAATAGTTACCTTTTAATGGTTCATAGAGTAATGGTAATAATGAAATATGGAGAGCAGTATCACCTAATGCTGGGTATGATTTAAATGTTGCAATGATTGCACATAATGTCCAAAAATAGAATAATGGGTGATGCTTTAATCTAATGGCTAATGGAATTGTATAGATGAATACATGGTATTGGAAAATAAATAAAAACAAATTTCTAAAATGATCGAAAACTTCAATAAAATAATACCAAAACAAACCTAAAAATAAAAATAACAATTAGTAAGATTTTATGGGTGGGTTACCTATAATAATAATGAATAATAAATACCAATATTTGGGGTTAAATCTTCAACTAAAAATGTAAATTTATAAGACTTTTCTAAAAATTCCCAAGAGTTTAAAAATGTATAAGATAAATAAAATAATGAACTAATTGAAAAGAAGAAAAGAATTGAAATTCTAAAGTAGAATAAAAGGACCATTGGCTTTTCACTTTTTTTTAAGAGATTTGAAATATTTTGAGATTGTTCATAAGAGAGTTGATTATCGGCTACTGGTTTACTATTGACATCTGGGAAATAGTGTTGTTTTAATATGAAAGCAACTGGGAAAATTAAAATGATTGGATAAATTCCTAGATAAGCAGACATTGATACTGAGAAAACACTGAGGAATAATTTGCCCTTTAATGAAAAGTAGAGTGATAATACTATTGCTAAATTTGTTAAAATAATAGTGCTCATACCAACACATGTAAATAAAGTGAATGGATTGAACAAGTATAAAGCTGCTGTTAAATTTGGTAATATTGAATCTTTAGATAATGGTTTCATTTCATTTGGTAATACCTTTGAAACTGATTTAGTGATTTCTCTTAATGAAACTGCAATTAAACAATCAACCAATACAAAAAATAATTGTGAACTTGTTATATTAAATTGAATAAATTCATTCATCTTTAAAATTGGTAAAAATAATAATAAAACTAATGGTGGTTGATGATATACTGATCCTGCATATGGTGATAGTCCCAACTCTCTTAAATGAATACCCTCAATCACTGAATATTAATAATAATATTAAGTATTAATATCATTTAAAAATATTTTTTTTTATGAAAGATTATTTATCACTTACATCTTTTAAAACTTGTTAATGGTGTGGCAATTTCATTTCTATTCGAAAACAAATGATCAAAACCTTGATAAAATAATACCAATCTTATTATTATCGATGTTAATATTATTAATAAAAATGATTTTAATTTATAATTTTCATTTGTTGAGGATGGTGGTGATGTACCATCTTTTTTATTATTTTTATTTTTATGTGGTTGGTTTTGTTGTTGTTGTTGTTTTTGGGTTTTCATTCGATTTATATGATCATTTATTATATTTAAATTAATTAATTTAAAAAAAAAAAAAAAAAATTTTAAAAATAAATTTAAAAAAAAATTAAAAAAAAAAAAGAAAATTAAAAAAAAAAAAAAAATTAAAAAAAAGGGTGTATTTTGATGATGCATATGCACTCACAAACTTTATTTGATTATGATTGATATTTTAAAATTAAAATTAATAATTAATAAAATTAAAATTTAGATATTTAAAATTATATTATTGTTGGAGATTTAATTGTTTTCTAGTAACCAACTGGACGATAACGGTTGTAGACCGATACCTTTCTAACTATTATAATAATTACAGCACAAATTAAAAATGCACCTAAAATAGTACCAATTACAATAAATGTTACTTGGACTGGTGTTAAAATTTTGGCTTTGTTTGGTTGATAGCTACTGCAGGTATCTTGGTATTGAGGATTTCCTTCTAGGGTACAGGCCAAACCAGATCCACATCCAATTCCAAACTGACTTTGAATTGAAGTGTCAACATTGTTTTCGAATGCAGCATCACCTTGGAAACTGATGGTTGAAGATTGACAATAAATTGCGGAACCTGCAACACCCATATTATTAATGAATGTATTATTACCTTGTAAATTGACTACACCTTCGTTGGTATATAATCCTCCACCATAGGTTGCATTATTTGATTCAAATAATGAGTTTAAAATATTAATTGAATTGCCCAAATAAACTTCATTAATGAAAATTGATGAGCCATAAGGTGAGTTGTTGTTCTTGAATACACTGTCGATAATGGATGCTACCGATGTCACTATGGTTATTGCTCCGTTTCTATCTAAACTGTTTGTATAGTTGTTATTTTCGAATATGCAATCGTTGATCTCTACATTTTGTGGGCAGTTCTTTAAAAGTATAGCTGTGGTATTTGTGTTGTTTAAGAAACTGCAGTTTTCGAACGAAATATTATTTACACCGTTGGCGCTGATGGAAAATATATTACCTGCAGTATTGTCAAAGGCTGTTACATTTTGTATGGTACTTGGAATATCGAAATGGAATATAGAGTTGCTGAAACTACCTTGTGTGATGAATGAGTTTGAAAATTGGAAAGTGCAACCAGCATTATATAGACCAACACTGGTTGTATAGAAAACTACACCTGAATCTCCACTAAAGTTGGTAAAGGTTGTTCCATCAATAACCAAATTTACAAAGAGTTCATCTGCGATAAAAATAAAACCACCTTGAGTTTGAAAAGACACTGTGTTTTGATATGTGCAGCCTGTAATATTCAATGACATTGGTAAATTTGTTTCATTACCATCATAGTTTTGTAATGCTATCGAGCCGCCACTTGATACTCCACTAGACCCATTTGGATTTACTGTATTGTTTTGGAAAATGCAATTTTCGAATGTAAAATTTGAGGCACCTGCACCATAACTAACTAAAACTGAACCACCAGTACCAAGTTGTTGAGCATTTTGATAACCATTTTGGAATGTTATACCGTATATATATACAGAGTTTGAAGAGTTTGCTTGTTGACTTGAAATATTTATAAATGAATTTAAAGAATTGCTTAAATCGAATATTACTGTAGTCAGTGTTGTGTCATTTAATGTACTTGTGTTATACTGAAGATTTATAATATTTATTGATTTGCCTGGTGTAATGGTTTCACCAAAAACATCGATATTACTAAAATTATATTGACCTGGTTGAAAATTTAATGTGATTTCATCAAAGCTAACTAAATTGCATGTTTTTAATGCGCTTGTAATATTAGTACATGGTGTTTCTAAACTGCTTCCACATTCTTCTGTTTGATTAAAATTACTATTGATATCTATATAACTAACACAGCTATTACTTATTATGGTTTCTATTTTATTTTCACAATTACATATTATTATATTACTATTTATTAATACTATCGATAATATTATAAATATTATTTTATATATCATTTTTTATTTTTTTTAAAATTATGAAAAATATTGGTATTATTCTAAATATTTATATAATTTTAAAAATAATTTATATTTTAATTATTTAATTATTAAATAATTAAGAAAATAAACTATATTATGTGTATTATTGGGATTTGTGTTATAATAAATAATTATTTTAAAAAATAAAAATTTATTTTTTTTTAAACTTTTTTTTTTTAAAAAATTTTGCTTTTTTTTAATTTTTTATTTTTTATTTTTTATTTTTTTTAAAAAAGAAATAATCATAAAAGTACATAGATTTTTCATTTTGTGATATTATATAAATAACCTATCAAAGTATCTTAATAAAAAAATTATACAATTTATTTTTTTAGATATTTTATAGATTCTTTGCAATTGTTTTTTCTAATTGATCAATTAAAATAAAAAAAAAAAAAATGAAATTTGATTAATTGAGTTTTAATTGGTTTTATTCATATCCTATATCTATCTAAAATTTCTATAATGTTTTTATCATTTAAAATATTAAGGTCATTTAACAATTCACAGCCACACGCTATGATCTTTAAGTTTGATGGTAATGAATATACTATTTGAGATAGATGTTCGAGTTTTTCGAGATATAAATATTTTACTGAATCTGGTATAATGTTCTTTAATGAGTGTTTGTATCCTCGGAATACACTAAATTCGGTAATACTGTTTGGTAATCTATGTAGTGGTTCTTTAATATCGCCTATATAAATAGAGGTTACCGAATCAGGAATATCTTTACGTGATAGTTTGAGATTAAATTCATTACAAAGCTCTATAGATGTCACTGAATTTGGAATGGTTGGTAATGATCCTTCAATTTCACCTAAATATAGATATTCTATATCTCTTGGAATAGTTTCATTTGTTGTATTAATTTTATCCCAGTATTCTAAAATTTTTAAATCTTCTTTTAATGTTGATTGGATGTTTAACATTTCTTTAAAAGCGTTCTTAGTTGATTTTAAAAATTTTGGGATATTAGTTTCTATTTTTCCATGTTTTCCTATAAGTCTTGTTTTTATATAAAAGTAATTCCAATGTTTTGATTTAAAAATAAGAAGTTGTTTTATATCTAAAGTATTTCTAAATTTGTTGTAGTTAATTGTTGTTTGATCTATTGGTGAATTAGAATCATTGGTCTTGGTATACATTTGAACCAAGAATAAATAATCAGGAATAATCGATGGGTTTAATGGATGATTGTAATTATTGAATCTTAAAAAGAGTAAAATATATGGTTTTGTTTCTTTCAATGGTTTACCTATATTACCTATAATTAAGGTGCTTGATTTTACTTCTGTAAGGTTACAAAAATCATTAAACCCTTGGCCTAAATATAAAGAGCAGGAATTTAAATATCCATTTAAAAGATTATTTGTATAAAATAAACTAATTGAATAGGGTGGCTTTATAAAGGGTTTATTCATATAATATTCCAAATTGAGGTTGCCACTAATTTGTAAATGATCTATCTTTTTTATTACTTCTTCTGTTATCAAAAATTCTTTATTAATTATGTAATGATAATTGGAATATGAGTCTATTGGTATTAAAAAGTATTCATCTATTTCACTTATAAACATACAGGTACGACATTCTAATTCTTCTATATTATAGACCTGTTTGGAAGCAGTTAAATTGAGTGAAATTTTTCTTTTTTTAATGTACTCAATAGTTTCTGGATGATTTAAAAGTCTATCTAAATTAAAGTTGATATCGTAGTTATTTTGCATTGTTGATATTATTTTTAATGATTCACATCCTTTGAAATTAATAGATTCTATAGATGGTATTTCTAAATATGCAGTTGTTAATTTCTTCATTAAAGAGATTTCCAAACATTTTAATTTAGTTAGTTTGATTGTGATGGTTGAGAATTCAGTTTCTGATATGTTAAGGTACTCTAAATTGTTAAATGCATTATTTGATTTATCTAGTTGACTTAAATCAAAAATGTCAAAGTTTGTTAATTTCGAACCATTTACATTTAAATATTTAATAGATGGTGTTTTGATATTAATATTGTCTAGCTTTTTACATTCAGTAGCACTTAAAAAAACTAAATTTGGAGCTGAAACATATATAGTTGAAAGTTGTGGGCACCTATCAAGTTTTAGTTTGTTTAATATGTTAAATTCTAATGTTGAAAAGTAACCTTGGTTTCCTAAATTATATAAATTGGTGCATCCAGATAAATCGAGAATGATAATTGAGTGTAAATTATATTGGTTGAGTGGATTATATTGTCTGAGTGGAAAAAATTGTTTGAGTGGATTAAAATTTATTTGACTATTTCTAAAACTGAGAAATGATATCTCTTTTAATTTTAAATATTTAGAAAGTGTAGTATATTGTTGATCTGTAATAGTGCTGAAATCTGTTTCTAATAAACATTCTGTGTCATAGTTTGATATACTATATGATTCTTTTTTCTCCAGTTTTAAAATGAGATCTAATAAATGCTTTACTTTTTTTTTGTGACTATGCAATTCACGCAATGCTTTAACTGGACTATATTCTTCTTCCCATAGTTTTGAAAAAATATCATTTGAATTTGGAATACTTTTTGATTGCAATAATTGTGCTGCTGAGTGTGTTGTACATGTTAATTGTTGAATTGTTGGATTTATATAGTTGAAATATTCGTTATATCTTTCTTTTATTGATATATTTAAATTTAAATAAGGTTTGTATCTATTTGCAATTAATGGTTCTAAATTGCTTAATAAATCTAGGTGGGTGGATTTTTCTTCTGAATTATCTTTTAAAAGTTGTTGTAAACGTTTCAGCTTTGAATATAAATGTATGATCATTCCATTGTTAAAAGATACTCCAATAATAGTTTCTTTTTTTTGTTTTAATTCTTCTTTTTTTGATGAAAATAGTTTTAACATCTTGTTATGATAAGTTAACAAGTTTTCTAACCAAGTTTCTAAAACATTGTAAATATCTAAATCTTTGAAACAATCGATAATATCTTGATGCACAACATGATTCATTTGATCAAATAAAAATAATACAGAGTCTGCTTGTAGCGGTTTGGAATAACTTAAGAAATTTAATAATCCAGTAGCTTTTGATGGCATAAATGATTGATCGTTATCAATTGAAAACATTTTATATATGGTTCTATTGTTTAAGTTGTTGTAGTTTTGTACAACTATATAGTTTCCCAAATTACCATCGGCATTATTGATAATTATTGATAATATTATTTGCTTTGAGATATTTGAAGATTCAATTTGATTTATTGTATTTGTATTTTGATTTAGTATATCTATTAAAACTTCACCTGTTACTTGTTGAGATAACAATACTGGAGTTGAATTGATTGATCCTATTTCACAATGTGTTGTTAAATTCTCACCAAATAGTTGTTCTGATAATATTTGTACTGCATATTCAATACCTGGGAATTGTGGCTTGAATTTTAAATAGATACCATTACCAAACTCATCTTCAATTAATGTGACTGCCCTTTCACCTTTTTCATTTGTTTTCTTTGGTGTACCATCTTGATTAAATATTTGATTACAATACTTTTCTGATATTACTCTTCTTAATGTTCCATCTGTTTCTAAATATTTTATTGATATGTTATTATTGGTTGGGATTAAATTTTCTAAAGGGAATAGTTGATTTAATGAAATATTCCATGTAATTTTTGGATTAATTAAAAATAAGTTTTTTAAGAAGGGTTTTAACTCTAATTTCTGTTGATAAGAGAATGTCTGATAAAATTCACCAATAGCTATTCCATTTGAGTTTTTTCCAGCACCAATTTTAATTAAATTTATGAATACATTGAAATTGTAATTTAATGATGATAAATCTAATAATGAATATCCATTTTCGATTCTTTCAATATCTAAACTAAAATAATTGATTAAAAATTCGATCAAATACCAACTGTTTGGATTCTTTAGTATTCCGCTTTCAACTATAGTTGTAAGATAGTTTTCGTTATTAATTTTGATGTCCAATGATTTCACAACTAGTTCTATACATTTGATAGATGTTTCATAATTTAATAATCTTTTAAATAAATGATCTTTATTTTGATACCAAGAATCGTGGAATGGAACTTTATCATCTTTTCCATTATATGTTGAATATACGATTTCTAACCATTCAACAATAAATTTACAAAATGGAACACATTCATTTACACCATTTAAAGATTTACATTCTATTAAGTCATTATAATCGGTTTGAGATACAAGTTCTTTTATTGAATCTGAAATGGATATTCTCTCTTGATTAATAGTTGCTTGTTTTTGAATTAATTCTGAGATATTTTGAGATATAGATGGATCTTCTATTTGTTCTAATAATCTACTAAATGGTATTTTTGTGTTTTCATTTTCTTCTTCATTTTTTATTGAACCAATTATATCTAATGGATTTGAGTATTTATTTGATAATAGTGTGTAGTAAATACTTAAAAGTGGATGTATTAAATCAAATAGTTCCTGGTGTGTAGTGTTTGGATTTGATATTAAATGTTGTCTAATTGTTTTAAATCTTTGAAACATTAAAGTTATCCAGCCGCTATTAAACATTAAAGGTAAATTTAATTCATTTCTAAAATTGTTTTTTTTTTGATTTTGGTCATGAGTTTCATAAGGGTCTAGCAATTTTGAAATAATAGAATCATAATTTGATTGTTTGTTTTCAATTAGTTTTAACCATTTTAAAATAAAGAGTGATGGTGTGTGTTGAATAAATTGATTTTTGACTTCTTCATCGATTCGCTGTATCATTAATTCTTTGAGTGTAAACAATATATTCCCGACCCTAGTAAAACCATCTTTGTTGTTATTTGGAAATATTTCTATTTCATTTGATTCCAATGACTCGTCATTATCAATACCAATAATATTATTTGTATTTTCTTCTAATATAAGATTATCTGGTTTGTAATCTGTTTGAATAGATAATAAACTTGATATAATATGTGAACTGTAACTTTTCAAATTAATTTGATTATAGTTTGTATCTGCTCGATTTAAATATTTCTCAAGTGTTTCTCCATTAATAATTAATGATGCTTGAATAAAAACTGTTTGGTTTTGCAAACCATTTTCTATGATTTTATAAATATGTGGAGCTTTTTCTAAAAGTTTTGAAATCGAATATTCGTCATAATTTGTTTTTTCTTCCCCTAATATTTTCCTAATATCCAGTGGTAATGAGTCAACTGAAAAAGTTTCAAAATTATCTAGTGCAAATAATTGAGTTGGAGAAACGAGAAGTAATGTTGGGAATAATAGTTTATTGAATTGATATATTGCATATTCTTTTGCTGGTTTTAATAAATGAGATCCATTATCAATTTTGTAACAAACTTGATCCAATAAACTTACATAGCTAGTTCCTGATTTATTTCCCTTTTTATATCTAGCTTCTATTGGGTCATACGATACAATTTTATAAGCTTGTTCTAATGATTTAACTTTATAATATTCCAAATCTTCACTAATAAATAACGGTGGAGATTTTAAAATTCTATGTGATGCAGGTTTTCCAGTTGATGTTAAAGATTCTTTGGCAATATTTGTTACTTGTTCTATGAATGATAAATGTGATTGTCGGTATTTAAAAAAAATTATTAATAAATCCCTAAATATTGGAATATTATTTCTATCAATATCAAATACTATTTTTTCAATTGATTCTAAATTTTTTTTTATTGGAATAAATAATTCATGGTTTTTATTGGGTGAATGTAAAAACTCTGATTGGATGAAAGGACTGGCCATTATTAGTTGTTGTGGCGGTTTAATAAATTTTATTATATTTTTAATACTATTATTTAGTTTTGTTTTATTAATATTTCGAAAAACATTGTGATTGTTATTAATAATATAATTGTTAATATTATTATTATTATTATCATAATTATTTAAAATTTCTAGTTTAGTTTTAATTTTATGAAATTTTGGGTCACCTAAATTTTTTTTTATATACCCGAAAAGATTTTTTTGATTTTCATCATATATATTTGTTTGCATCTGATATTAAGAAAAAAAAATTATTAATAATCCTGAATGTTATAAATAATGTGAAAATAAATATTTATTTTTGGGTTTTACTTTTTTAATTTTATTTAGAGATAATTATAATTTGAAAAAAAATATTTGTGTTTAAAATTTTATGAAAAAAAAATGAAAAAAAAAAAAATTAATAAAAAAAAAAATGAAAAATAAACCCTTTTTTTTGAGTTTTTAAATTTAAAATGCAACTTTTTTAGAAGTTCCGCTAGCGATTAGAACTTTTTTTTTATAAAAAAAAATTAAATTTTTTTTTTTTTCCAACAGATTTTTTTTGCCCATTATGAATTCCTCCAAAATAAAAAAAAAAAAAAAAAAAAAAAAACTAAAAAAAAAAAAAAACTGAAAAAAACTTTTTTTTTTTCCATATTATTTTTTGATGATTTTTGGATAAATTGGTTATTTTGGGGTTTTTTTTTAATTTTTTTTGCATATTAAATTTATATCACAAAATAGATCCTATTGTTTTTGATAATTTAAAAATATTTTATTTTTCTTAATAATTTAATAAAACTGTTAATAATTAATAAGGAATTTTCATATAGATAATATGAATCAATGGTATGTACAGTTGTAGTTTAGTGATTAGAAATAATTAAATAGGTTACAATGAATAATTATAAAAAAAATTATTGAAAAAAAACTGCAGATACTCCAAGAATTTTAAGACATTGTTTCACCTTTGGCAAAAGATATTTTAAAAGTTATTTTAATAATAGACTTGATAATAGCAATAAAATAGAATTCATGTCCCATTAAAATCATATGAGGGCACCCCCAGGGGTCGTAGATGGCTCGGAAAAACAAATTAGTTTCCCAATTGATAAAGAAAACCAATTCTTTAAGAAATAATTCTAAACCTTAAGGAACTTTTTTTTTTGAAATATTATCAAAATATTAAGAAAAAAGGAAGTTTTTTTTTTTTTTAATTTTGGAGGAACCCCTAAAGAAATAATTTAAAGAAAAATTTTTTTTTTTAAATT